TCTTCTTCTTCTCTTTTCTGCTACTTCGGCTACAGTAATTTAGCTTTCACAAGTATAATTCTTTATGCATATGTGTTCAAAATGATGAGTTAAAAAACACTTAGAGTAACTGCACATTGGACCTATTATAGACAAAAAATCCCTAGATCTAGTGACCCTTTGAACTAATTGAGAACTGGAGTCAAATCCATTAAGGGGGCGTTCTTTTTTTGGATTTTGGTTCCCATTGACCAAGAATCCCATGTTCTTTTTTTTCAGATTTATGTGGGGACCAAGGAAAGTTTATTTTCCTAGGTATCACTTACCTCCTAGGTGGGTAAATAACTTTCTTACCTAGGGGGAAAGTTGCCAACACTTGAATGTGACAAAAATGCCATTTTTAATAATGGATTTTTATGGCCAAAATGGTCATTGCCTTATTTACATAAGAAATAAAAGAACATGGGTAAATGCACTTACCTGGATAAGTGTTTCCCAGGAAAAATTTACCCAAGTAACTGCATTTACCCGGGCAAATAACTTAACGAAAAGCGAACGGGGCCTAAAAGTCACTAACATCTGCATAAAGATGCATCAAGGGTCTTTCAAAATCGAAACTGAGGGCCAAGAGAGAATTGCTATCTTCATTGAATGGAGACAAGACTAGGACATCTGAAACAAGGGAGCAAAAGAATTCCCAGAGGAAGGACTTGGCAGACTAAAAGAGAAACAAGCAGATTGATGACTAYGACAATTTGCACATGGCTCAAAAATTTGGATCTGCATCCCTCTTTTATTAAGATCGTTAATAATGCACACCTTGTCAAGAAACACCAACTACATGAAAAGCCTGAAGCTAAAGGACACACTTCCTCCAGATATAATCACAATGAACTGATGTTACCATCCCTCTAGGAGTGCTGTATAGAAGATCTAGCAGAGACTGGAGAGCTTTCTAGAAGATTCCTCCTTCCGGTTAACTTTCATTTCTTGAATCTGGAATACTGAACACACATCCCCAGGTTTTGGGAAAATGAGGATGCATGTTTTGATCTCCCTATTCAAGAGAGGCCTACACAAGTTTGAATGCCAAGACACTATATTGCCCTGCAAGAAGTAAAATTTTGAAATGTTCTTCTCACTTGTATTAAGATCCTATAGAGCCTAGCCTTGGACATGATGCACTGATTGTAATAGCCTGTGATGGGCTCTTGGTTTTCTTGTCTCTGCTGTTATCATGTAAATCATCCCTTTTTTAATCTTCTCTTTTCTTTTAGTATAATCTATGCATTCCAACCTTGGTATTGGGAAAGTACTTTAAACTAAAGCTAAGAGGGCAGATAATCAGACCAATATGAGTTTGGTAAACTGTACCAACACGGTATCATGAATGATCTAAACATGAGAGCTAAACATGACTCCCATCATGTCTACCCCATATTGGACCTATTCCAGTAAGAACAGGGTGTACTAGATTGCCCCATTATCCTGTGCAAATGCTGCTATCTCTAATTAATACAATTCATTGCTGAGAGTACGAAAAATGGTCATGAGGTTGAACATATGCCATGTACACTAAGATGTATCAGCAAACCATCTTTTACTCAAGCTGCCAGATGATAACTAATATAATATTTATGCTGATAGTCAAGGAACCAAAATTCCAATGGAACATTGTAGTGAACTTTCCTGTTTGTTTGCTTGCTTTTTATGACTCTTTAGGGCCTTTTCTTCTGTCATGCAGGCTCCCTTCCAGCAAGGAAAACCTGGTGCACAGGAGGCAGCTGCAGCTCCTAATAATATACTCTTCATTCAGAATTTACCACATGAGACCACTAGTATGATGCTGCAAATGCTCTTCCAACAGTATCCAGGATTCAGGGAAGTCCGGATGATAGAAGCGAAGCCAGGCATTGCCTTTGTGGAGTTTGGAGATGAAGTGCAGTCATCAATTGCCATGCAAGCCCTTCAAGGGTTCAAGATTACTCCCCAAAACCCCATGGTCATCACTTATGCAAAAAAATAAGACCAATCTTTTCATGGTATGTGTTTTCTACTTCATCTTTTGTAATTTCACTAAGACGTGAGAGCTAAGGGAGCATTACATTACCATAATCATATGTATTTTTTTAAGATAGTTAAACTGTTTAAAATGCTTTTCCTTGCACCAATCAAAAAAAAGTTTTTGCTAGCATTCAGATCCAAATAGAGAGACGGGTCATTTTTTAACAGAGACAGCTTGACAAGTCACGCATTGACATTAGTGAAATACTTAATTCCAGGAAATACATGCCCAAAAGAAATCTTGGTGCTGACCAACTAGTTCAAGCATGTGACTTGAACTTGGTTGAGTAGATGTTATAAGAACAGAACTCGTGCTTTTCAATTTCTTGCTATTTTCAAATAAATAATATAGCAATGAAAGAAAATGAAATGTTTAATAAACTTGACATCAATGTGATAATGAAAGAATACATTATATATTCCATGTAATGAAACCATTGTAGTTTGTTTTTTCATAGAGTATTTATCATGAAGAGTTGAAAGAGATTGTTAATAAACATGAGATAACTTTTGTGTGTGTTTATCTTCAAAAAAATGAGGTAACTTGGTGTTTTGACTTTTGAGGAATGAATTCATTTGAATCTTTGTGATGCCATTCACATATTTTGGATGATTAACATACTAAAATGTTACAAGGGACCATAAATGAAATGATTTCATCAAATGTTATTTCCAAATATCTGTTAAGAAAATTAGATTTCAAATTATCGAAATATTGATTTGTTTAGCAATCACATGAAAGTTAGAAAAACTGTTCTTTTGGGGTATATAGTGCAAGTATAATTTTGGCAGTATCTTTATGAAAACAAATTATAAAGAAATAAGCAGTAAGCACTACTTTTTGTTTCAATTTTTAATGCAATATTGTCAGTAGTTAGTAGGTGATTATATGAACGTTTGAGGACAGTAATTCAAATCGACCTAGGGAGTCGTAGGTACAAAACCATTTGAATGATAGATTTGCATCAAATATTTATCTAACGCTCAACTTTATTTGATTGGGTAGTGGGAAAATGAAACTTTAGTTGCTCATGTGAATGCGGCCACTTTGGTAAAGTTTTTTGATGGGTTTCTTTTCTGGGTAGTACAATGAATGAGTTCGCTAGATCATTGATGGATCCGTCAGTTCTATCTTCGCATGAAAATCATTTAGGATATAAAGTATTTTTTAGTTTTGTTTTTTCTTAAAAAAATAAAGAAATATTCATTTTTGACAAATTATTGCTAGATCAATGAGTTTAATAAGAAATATTCATTCATAGATCCATATTCATTTGTTTTTTCTTAAAAAAATAAAGAAATATTCATTTTTTGGGAGAAATATATAGATCTAACAAGTTGACTGCCAGTGTAATTGGATATATATTGGTCAAAACTCCAAACCGTCAAGGCAGCGTATAAAAATTGTCAAAAAGTTTAGATGAATATTGGATAGCAATAGCATTTTGTTGAGACACCAATATTTTTGTAATTTTTAGCAGTTGTCTTCAGCATCATTGTACTATTCTACCCACACCTCATGCCTATGCCTTGAAATACCAATATGATACCTCTTTGGGCGTATTGTATTTGTATTGATGTTTTGTATATAAACGGTATTGACAAAATAAGAAACAAAAAATTGTATAGAAACGGAACTCGGGAACTGCAAGCTGCGATGCATGGGAAGTGCTTTGCCAGGAGATCATCTGTCCATGGCAGTTCAGAGGGATTCACCAATTTAGTGGCCCCACTATTGGTAGTGGCCATATATATATATAGTAAATGTGTACGGCGTTTCATGTGGCAGTATCTTTTAAGACAAAACTATTTATAATTCATGAGCAGTTTTTGAACTGTTATAAGTGGACAGTTTTTCAAGTGGGAGTAAATAACATATATATCCTCTTTATACCCATTGTATGCTGTTCAATGAAAATTCCAGAAAGGAGGGCCATTCGATATATGAGAGAGAGAGAGAGAGAGAGGTAGAGGTGGCAATATGTCATTGTGAGCATAGGTTGTATAGTGTGCACGAAACAGGGATTCACCATATGACCGGTCCTCCCCCTGATGGGCATGTTTTGAAAGAGAAGGGTTGTATGAAGGAACATTATCCATTTATTTGATTGGCCTGGCCTCACTAAAGAATAAGGTGAGGCCTGGGGGGAAATCTTTCATTTGTACAATATTATCCAATCAATCTGTCGATTGTGACTAGATAGTCTTCAACGTTCTTTTGGGTGTCAACACAACAGTGCAAGGAGAATGGCCCAAGCGAATACAAAGTGGGGTTCGGAGAACTTGTATCATGTTATTTGTAGGAAGGTGGCGGAAGTTGGAGTTTTGGGGCCTTTGGGCTCCTCTTGGTGTGCCCAGTAGCATGTTATGTCTTAGATCAGTCCTTTTATCTTTTGGATTTGACAAATGTTTAGGTTAGGTGGGCGTGGACCCGGTGCCACATGACATGCTAGTATGGGCCTCAATCCTCATGTTTTCTCTACCATTTTCAGATCAGTGATTGAGCATTGATGCGCGGCTGGGTGGCTCCCCCTGGCCTGCATCTAATGTCTCCCTCCCCTTGTCAACTTTAGAAGGAATAGCCACACAAGTAGAGGAGACGGTGCACCCAAAAGGGCCCACGATCGTCAGGGCCAGCACTGGGTCTGGATGAAGGTAATTGCTATTGTTTGCCAACCTCGCTTTATTTCTTATGGAATCATGACAAAAACAAGAAGTACAAGGAAAGAGAAAAAGGTAAAAGACCATTCGATGTTCATGTCTCAGTCAATTTAATGGCCGTCATCGTCGCTAAGAAAGCTTATTTGGGGAAATGCGTTGCATTCATTTATTGTGGGGATCGTCAGTGGTTTGGTTGCTGGGGTCCCCAGCTGTTTGTAAGAATGTTTGATTAGGCTTACTTGCCTTCCCTGCAAGGGCACGTTTCTTGGTGCGGTTTAATAATTCAAGTGCTTTCCATTCCATCCCATAATAAGAAACAAACTAGAAGGCTTTACGGCAAAGATTTTATTTCATTAAATTCTTATCCCCATCTCTTCCTCTGTTCTTCAAAGGTAAGTAGGTTGTTGGAGCCAATAATTGCAATTTTCGTTTTCCCGTATGTGAAGTGATGAACTGATTGGGAGGTGTTATTAATGATTTCCTTTCCTTTCCTCTCTATTCCTCATGAATCATATTCATTATCACAACCACGGTGTGAGCTCTGATCTCTGATCACGAAATGGTGATATCGCGGGTCTTCACATGACTACATGAGATATATTTATATAAACTTTTAGTGTTGGGAGTGTGGGACCACTTGTCAAAATTCAACAATTATGTAACTACTAACTAATGTAAGGTTGGAAACTAACCAACCATCAATCGACCCATACTCCCATTCAATGAAGAATCAAATGACAAAGGAATAGTGTTACGGAAAAGAAATGTCAGCTCCAAAAGGATTCTAGGACTCTCTCTCTCTCTCTAATTGAATTGGCTCAAATATCCCTTTTGTGCCAAAAATCAACATGATCATATTATCTTTTGTTTTTGTGATAAAATCATACTAGCTTTGAAACATCTTATCTTTCTTTTCCTTTAATCTTTGCTTCTGTTTTTATTTTTCCTTTCTTTTAACCTTAAATGAACCTTTTCTTTTCTCACTGCCCAAATGACAACAGTAAAAGTGATATGGAATCATTTGATTTTGCGTATGTGTTATTGGTTGGATTGTTGGACACCTACCAAAAATTCAATTTGGTTTGACCCCAGTACACTAAGTTCGCTTGGATTGGATTGGACCTCTCTTCCCATTCTTTAACTAAACTACAAATTGTTGTATTTTGCTTCAGAATTTCTTCCACTCTATGAGTAATTTCATGTTACGTATTGTTACATAAAGGGGGTATTTGCAAATACAAATGTCTCAGTTTGGTGAGAATCCAAACATAAATACAAAGTTTAGAAATATCATATGCAAGGTAAGGTTTTGCATTGAACATATTTATATATATTTAAGGAGAGTATAAATATAAATATGTAGAATACAAAACCTTGTATTTTATATGCATTATTTTGTATATATATGTATGTATGTATGTATGTATGTATTTGTACTCTTTTCAAACGAAGATTTAAAATCAACCTAAAAGAATGTAAATATAAATATGTTCAGCACAAAAACCTGTATATTATTTATAAGCCTTGTATTTGCATTCTTCCTTATTATCAAAAAAATCTTCCCAAACTGACCTTAAGATTATTGGAACTTAAATCGTTTTACATTTATGACTATCACATACCATCAAGCTTCCACGGTTTTGAATTTGCATGGATAGCCTAGGGTGCATTTGAAAACATCTCCCCAATGACAAATACAATTTAACTTCCATAGTCTCAATAGATGTCATAATTCTTTGTAATTCCAATTTGAGACATGGGGGTAGGGTTTGATAAATTGATACCAATTGTTAATAAGATGGGAGTGGGATATTTATCACCAAATGTCTTATAATATATACATGATCTACGTGTATGTATATAACACAACCCAGGAATCTCTTCTCCCCCAGTTTATGGGTCCCGAGACCAGGAATAAGAGACACAGACCACCGGACATTCCAACTTGGCACATGTGCAATCTCAGTACGGAGTCAATCGTTGCAGTTATAAATCTATCAACCCCACCACACAGGAGTCACTGCTCTGCCTTTAATTAACTAAAACCTAAGTACACTGCTTTAGTTTATTACGCCTCGTGATGCCCAGGCCCCAGTCTAGCGAGTAGACACCAGAGACCAGATGGATTATGGTGGATCCTGGTCCATCAAAATCTTCAGTTTTAGATGTATTTTGATCGCACAATAACAACGTTTTTAGAGTGCGTCCAGACCCTCATCTATCATTCTATAATAGAACTGGAAGCAAGGAAGAGACATTTAGTGGGTGGGCCCGTGGGCCGGGAGATTGGATCTTCGATCTTCGGAGGGCCCGTGGATTAGACACCGTGTTTCCTCCACTACACACGGCTCAACTTTAGATTTTTCTTTCTTTTCCGATCAGAAAAAAAAAAATTATATATAAAAATGAAAAGAAAAAGTTTAGATCTTGTTTTCCTATTTTGTTGCCGTAATTATTGCTTAATTTGGATTTTCGCTAAAGTCTCTTACAGAAGAAGCTCACTATAGACTAGGAAAGAAGAAAGAAGGGAAAGGAAAATTACAAGGGAGCAATTGCATCATCTAACGCGGCAGTATGCTTGCTCTAGAGGTCGGAGAAGGAGGATTCTGGATTCACGGTTCACCAATCAACAACGCAATTATCAATTTGTTGCTGAATTAAATTTTTATTATTGAATAAGAAAATAAACTCTCACTACCGCTACCTGTCAGACCAGACTGCCACTGTATATTCATTCAAATTCCCGGAACCGACTAAAAATWTTCTCCCCCTCCTCTCTCTCTTCCTGATGAAAATTTGTTAGGGGCTTTTAATGGCGGAAATGTAGCGGTGAAATTAGAGTGGAGACTCAGTTTCAGAAACTAGGGTTTGCGATACTTGGACGAAATGCCCATTACAAGGTACCAGATAAGAAACGAGTACAGCTTAGCCGATCCGGAGCTGTACAGAGCTGCCGATAAAGATGATCCCGAAGCGCTACTTGAAGGCGTCGCCATGGCCGGACTCGTCGGCGTCTTGCGTCAGCTTGGAGACCTCGCCGAGTAAGTCAATCTCTCCTCAACTCCGTGCGACTTTCCTTTTTTTGTTGTTGTTGCTCTTCCTCTTTCACCCTTGAAGTGGTTATATTTAACACTATTGAAAGCTTTTTTGTTTGAATTTGGGGGCTGTTTCTTATGTATTTTTTTTTTCAGTTTGAGTGATCGAAATGCCTGCCGAAATTAAATACTTTTGGAATCTTACATTCGTTGACTTGACTTGGTTCCAAATCTTAGATCTGTGAGAATTCGAACCATAGGTAGATGGTCAATTTGTCTTCATTTTCTGCCGTTATCTATCTATAGTTTGCATTTTGGTTTGTGGAAGAATCTAAGAAGATTAGGGTTCCACTTGGTACTTCTATTCAAAGTTCGTGGTGTAGTCCTTAATACTTGGACAATTGAGATGCATTATCAATTTGATCGGCTTCTCCTTTGGTTTAATAACAATTTGAATCTGGATTGTTTGTGAAATGCATGTTCTTGTAAGCTTAGACTACCCTTTACGTAGAATCCAACGAATTGGATGATTTCTATCTTTAAACTGTCTTCTACCAGGGATTGGGACCTTTTGGTCTAGTTGATAGGTTCTCTTGGATTATGGATTCGCACTAGTTTGTACCTTTCTGTTTAAGTCTATGCTGCAACGACTAGTCTCACTGATGATGGATGCCAAATAGAGAATTCTGTAGGTCCTTTAATTTCTATATTCTAACCATTTCAGGTAAATTTGGATGGGTCTCTGGAGAATATCGATTGGTAGGTTCTGGGCTCTGGATGAGTGCCACCTACATGGTAGATGCAGAGAGGAAGGTTTCTTCCAAGATTTTACTGACAAAATATTTTTACTCTGCAATTAGATATAGCATTTCAAAAATTCCTTCTAATCTTTTGGAATGACTTCAAATTCACATACCTATTGATGTACTGTGTTGATATGGTAGGAAAATCTTATTGAATGCTGTTCATCTTTAGATATTAATATTATTTTCTATAGGTATGGAAAATTCATTAAAATAAAAAGGAGAGTACATGATTAAGTAATAAGAAATCACCAAGAGAAGAAGTAAAATAAAAACTCATTAGCCCCTTGCCATCAAAATCAACACTTGAAGAAAGCACTAAAATCATCTGCTAATATTTCTTCACAAAAGAAATCTTCTCTGATTTTCCATCTTCCCACTTCTATCCATAGTTTTCAAGGCGCCAAGGCGAGGCTAGGCAACTGGGGGGTGCCTAGGCGTTGCCTAGGCAATGAATTTTTTTATGTTAAAAAATAAATCCTAGGGTAGTTCCCTAGGTACCATAACCATATTTCTTTAATAATTATTCATGATTTTCATAAAAAAAGTATAAATTTCATATTAAAGTATAGAAAATCAACATATTCATGAGAAGAAAAGGAAGAAGGAAAATAAAATTCAAAAAATATAGGGGCTGAACCCTTATTTTTGTTATAGGAAAAGAAGAAAATAAAAAGTATTGGTAGTAGTAGTAGTAGTAGAAAAGAAGAAGATTTTTAGTTCTTCCTTACTTATTGGTTCAGGTTTTTAAGTCTTTGAGGGTTCAATACAGCATTTAGCAATGTTCGTGTTGATTAAACCCTAATAAATAAGAAAATAAAAAAATGAAATTAGTATATAAACACACAAAATGATTATTTTAGTTTAATAATGTCTATTTTATAATTATAATTTCAAAAAAGAATGAATAAAAACGTATTTTATAGTAGGAAGTAGAAAACTGTTAGGCGATTGGGCGAGGCGAGCCTCAAAGGGCACCTTGTCGCCTAGGCGTCGCCTTGACAACTATGCTTCTATCTAATAAATCTCATCCTTTTTGATTGCCATCCTTTCTCCGATTAAATTAGAAATCATTCTCTAGCAGCAACCCGCAACTACGCCTCTTGAGACTAACTCTAAACCCCTGAACTTAATAATACTTACACCCGACACAAACAACTTATATTGAAGAATTTTTACCCTTCTCTCTCTTCTAAATCCATAAAAGCCTTACTTGCAAATTCTTTACCACCTAAAACTAAAAAGAACAGCCCCAACTTTTTGCCAATTAGTATGTCTTTTCCCAACCGCCACTTCTATGTCCATCTTTCACCATAAAATGTTACTAATAATATTAGGAACAATAATAAAATACCAAGTACAGTATAATAATATAAATTCACCAATATAACCATCTATTCTTAAAAGCAATGACTTAATTTGGTTACGAAGGCATATATAAAACTGCTTATACAATGTAATAGGTCCAAGCAACCAAGAAACTTGAGCTGGGTCTTACATCTGTCAATAAATCTAATATTTTAATTAGTTCTATGTAGAAACATAATGCTTATTTTATACATATAAAACCACTCTCCCTATTTATTTTTATTCTCATTGGTTTTTCTTGTAGAAACATAAACAGAAGATGATATTCATGGTGCTCAATCCCAACCATATGGGATTGGCTACATGAACCCTGTTCCATCATTCCACTCTCTTCAGTGCCATGTTCACTGTTAGCTTATGGGTCCTCAAATCATTTCTTACTATTTCATGGACTGACAACAGAGGAGATGCACTAGAGCTCCTATAATTTGGAGTTTGCATGAAAAGAGAAGCATTAGGGTGTTTATTCACAAGATATAGGAATCCTACATCATAGATGACCATGTGAATGTTAGAGTAGTCAATAGGGTCTAATATTAGAGGAACTTACAGGAGTGTCAGTGGATACAATCATTAGAGGGTGACTATGGGTAGCTAGTTTTTCTTCCACAGATGCCCCCCCCTGTAAGTAGGAGCAATGTAATGGTAAACATTGATGGCTGTTCTTGTATGATTGGTAACCTAGTCTCTTCACATGTGGAGGGTCCATAAAGAGGAAACTGTGATGAGCTCATCCTGACTTTTTTCAGGGCCAATAGGAGAAAAAAATTCCATATGGGCAGAGTTGCTTTCTACTTTCAAGATCCAAAGCTTGACTTTGATTTGGCCTTAGATCCTATCTGTGCAGTGGTGAAAGAATCACAATTAATGGTTGGATCCATTCTTTCACCAAAAGATATCCCTCAGATTTTTAGGCATGTCATTACAGAAGTTGAGTTGTAGGCATTCATAATACCTGGATACCTGTGCAAGGGTGTCTGCCGTGTACTGTCTGATGCTTCAATTTTTAGTGTAAAGTTCATAAATGATGCCATATGCATCTGTATCCTTGCTATACCCAGGTAACAAGGTAGGCATCCAAAGTGAAGAGTTTGTTCCGGTGGAACTCAAGATCAGCCAACTCTTGCTATACCCTGTAGTTTGAAGGCAGATGATGTTCCTAACCCTTTGCTTCTCACATCGTAAATTCTCTTTATTCTGCTGCTGATAATAAACAGTGTTTATTATGATTAAAACCCAAAAACCAAAAAAAAGCCATATGAATATGGCAAATAACCAAACAAGTGCTTACAATACATATTTTAGTAATTATCTGAGATTTATTTTGTTTCCCCTTTATTTGGTCATACTCTCTAAAAGAGTATTAAATTACTAATTTTTTATCATACATCAGGAATTTTATAGGTACTTTGTTAACATATTATCATACCACTTACCAACTTCACCCAAAATAGCACCAAGCAGTCTAGCACTTTTCTATTGCACTCCCCTCTTCACAGGAAACACGGGAAACAATTGATACTTTGTAAATTCCATAGATTGATAAACAGAAATAGTTCTTGTATACTTTGTATTGATCCCTTCTGTTTACGGATAGATATCCATTTGTTCTGAAGGATGCATGTTGATATTTAAAACTATAATAACTCGATTAGATTCTCTCTTTTGATGCTATAGGTTTGCCGCAGAGATATTCCATGACTTACACGAAGAAGTATTGGCTACTGCTGCTAGAGGCCATGGGCTGATGGTTCGTGTTCAACAGCTTGAGGCAGAAGTTCCATCAATTGAGAAAGCATTTCTTTCCCGAACTAGTCATTCACAATTCATCTACAATAGAGGTTATAATAGTCACTTAAGCTTCTTTTCCTTGAATTGGGTATTTGAGATACTGTTTTATTGTCTTTGGAAAAGGACTACATGAGAGGTGCCAGCTTGCCCAATGGATAGTGCCTAGAGTACAAACTTAAAACCTTTCATCGCCTACTTATCCTTTAACCAGCCCACCTGCACAACCCTACCCCCAAATAAATAGTTTTAACATATCTCTATTACCACAAAGATGCATATGTAATTCAACTAATATTTGCATTTTTTTTATTATTTTTGGACTACACAACCGGGGGGGGTAGCCCATCCCCCAACCCAGGTGCAGGCGGGATTCGATCCCAAGTCTCTGCTACAACCAGCAGGAGACCTTACCAACCAGCTAGTTGGTACCTTGCTCAACTAATATTTACATTCAATATACCTTATTCTTACACATTCTTTTGGTTTTCTAGGTTCATTATGTCTTGAGAGCTGAGGTCTCAAGTGTATATACCACATTGAACACAAATTTGTGTCTGAGTCATGCAACATAATACATGAACACTAAGGCACATACATACCATAATTTTCAAGGCACCAAGGTGAGGCTAGGCAACAGGAGGGTGCCTTGCCGCCTAGTCTCTCCTAGGCGATGGATTATAAGTAAAACATATATCCTAGGGTACTTCCCTAGGTTCCATAACCATATTTCCTTAATAATTATCCATAATTTTCATAAGAAAAAGTATAAACTTCATGTTAAAGTATAGAAAATCAACATATTCATGAGAAGAAAAAGAAGAAGGAAAAGAAAATTCAAAAAATATAGGGGCTGAACCCTATTGTTGTTATAGGAAAAGAAGAAAAGAAAAGGTGCTGATTAGACAAAACTTTAAGTTCTTCCTTACTTATTGGTTCAGGTTTTGAAGTCTTTGAGGGTTCAATATAGCATTTAGCAATGTTCGTGTTGATTAAAACCTAACAAATAAGAAAACAATAAAAAGAAATTAGTATATAAACACACAAAATGGATATTTTAGTTTAATAATGTCTATTTTATAATTATAATCTCAAAAATTAAGAATATAAAAATATTTTATAACACAATGTTATAAAATACATGTGCACAGATATGTAATCTAGACCATGCAACAGGGATGAGGAAATAAAACATATGCTCATTTGACTTTCCCTTTAATCCAGTAGACCCAAATGCACATTTATGGAAAGCATTACAGTGGTGTAAGTAGAACTTTCCCTCTGTTTGCTAATATTGTTCACCAGATAATCATACATTTATTGATTAAATGCAACCACACCAACCAAAAGTCCTGGGATCCTTACTGTTACATTATTGAGATATTTAGCTCTCAAAAAAATATTTAGCCCTCAAAGGATGTTTGATAAATTTAATAATGCAGAGCTGTATGGTTTTCTTCACAAACAAATAACTAGAACAAAAGGTCATAATGTATGCAAATGCTGAATAGCTCATTCAGTGATTCAGATGGGTCCGTTGGTCTGCAATTGCTGTGGTCGATTATCTTGCTAAATCAGGAGTCAATTATTTGGGGAGACAAACTGGGCCAGGGGCTCTATTTGTAAATTCTATGAGAAATATTTTGTTTCCCCTTTTGATGCTTTGTAATCTTCATCTTTCTCTCTACCCATTTCTTGGGTAGTTTCTTGGGTTGTTTGAATGAAATGCTGTTATTTGTCCCCCCCCCCAAAAAAAAAAAGAAAAAAAAAAAAAGGAACCCATGGACAAGTTGATAAAAAAAAAGTCTTGGTTATGTTCCTTACAGAAGTCTTTACTGCATGAGCACTTAATTTTCTTGCAGGTGTTGACTGGCATCCTAATCTTCGAATGGACCAAAATCTGGTTAGTAGGGGAGATTTACCTCGATTTGTAATGGACTCCTACGAAGAATGCCGGGGTCCACCTCGGTTATTCTTGCTGGACAAGTAAGATTATTTGACTATTGTTTCTCTCAAGGGTTATGCTATATCTTCTTTGTAAATTTTATTACGATTATCTATCATTCTACAGGTTTGATATTGCTGGTGCTGGAGCATGTTTAAAGCGATTCTCTGATCCATCATTCTTCAAAGCAGAATTAACCTCTTCTGAGTCCAAAAAAGCAGAAATTCAAAGGGATAAGAGAGCTCGAAAGGTCAAGGTACATTGAAAAGAATAGCATTACATAAGGAATAGTTAACCGTTTTAGACATGTATGTAATGACTTACTGAAGAAGCTGTGTTCTAATACATATGAAGATCTGTATTACCTTTTAATGCACTTCTTCACAGAATAGGGAGGTTTTCTTTATGTGAGTAAACCATGTTGTAAATAAATAGGAGATCGGTTTTTTTTTAGCATGAGAGATCTAGTTTGTACTTGATAAATGGTGGTGGATCCTAAGCATGTGCATTTATGAGTTTCATGTTTACAATTCATGATACAATTTGTATCCTCACTTTATTCTCCTAAAAGGCTAACATAACCAGGTATATGATTATTTGTTTTTTCCTTAGGAATGAACTTAAATGTATAATTTGAGAATAGGCTTCTCCTACAGTTTACAGAAAACTTGTCTTATGATACTGTCATTTAATAAGGGCTTTGCATTTGCTTTTAACTGCTAATGGTGTGGTACAAGAGTACAGGGGCAACAAGATGTGCATGCCCACATGTTCATGTGCATGCGGTTTTGTTAATATCATTGATTGCTCATTGCTTAATTATTGTTGTTTATATTGCTACTATGATAGAATTATCTAAATCATATATTATTATTGTTATTATATTCTTTTTTCTATTATTATTTATTGATGTCATTTAAATAATTCACTTTGTTATATTTTTCCAATGAAAATATTCTTATTTGGCAGGTCTTTACCATCTAGATTTGCTGAGCAGTAAAAAAACCTATATGCCAATGTTAATCTGTATTTGTTTTGCCTCTAATTCCTTACCCATGTAATATTTACCATAAAATTGCCCAAGAAAAATGTTCTAAAAGGGTTTCTAAAAATGCTCTCTCTGGCATTGGAAATTGGCAATCTACCGTCTTATAGTGCACTTTGTACATATATCTTTTCATATTTTCTCATAAAATGCTTTGGCAGTTACTGTTTAAAAAATAAAGAAAGATATTGTTTCTTATTCTTTTTGAGAAAAAAGGTAAGGTTGTATTACCAGTATGCTGCAAAATCAGATTACAGTGTGAGACATGTATGCAATATGTGCAGCCAGAAACTATACATCAAGTCTCAATGGAATTATATAAATCTTCAACAAAAACTTCCAAGGACTAAAGGCTAAATTTGAAAGCCAGGAATTTCTGACAACTTATCTGGCTAGCCATAAAAGGTTGCCGTGATAAAAAACTGATTATGTGGGATTCTGCTGAAAAGATCTTGGGCTGATAACCAGGAATATATAAATGTCATTGCCTGCTGAATCAAACTATCTTTATCCCCACTCTTTTCTTCAAAGATCCTCCTATTTCTTTCCTTCCACACCACCCAACAAACTGATTGGGGAATTGTATTCCACAAATAATTTCCTTTCTGATTTAATCCTGGCAACTTCCAGGACTGCAATAGCTCCCACAAACTCCTCAGATGACACCAGCTAACATTCAACAGCCCACAAAAATTATTAAATAAGCAACTGGTTACTTTGCAATGTACAAGAAGATGATCAATTGATTCTTCTTCCCGTCCACACATAACACAAACCAGAGAATCCAGCAACAACCCCTCCTCTCAACTGAATCTTCAAAAGGCAATTACCTTTTACAGCTGACCACATGAAGACAGTGATCTTAGATGGGGTGTGTGAAAGGGAAACCCCGAGAGAGGGAAGGAGCTGAGTTATCATAAAGTGATTTGACAGTAACATAAAGTGATATTATTTCTTATTGTTGATAGTAACATTTGGAATTTTATTAAAAAAAATTACTGATTTCTTCCCTCAATGACAGAAAAAAGGATCACGCTGGAGGAATGGAGAGACCCCAGAGGCTCTCCCAGTACCCCATACCAAGTAGGACCTCTGTTTCTCTTTTAGTCAAAGTATTAGATTAAAATTGGTAAGTTTTGAAATGTTAATTGGTGATTAATGGCATTGTATTGGTGCAGATTGCATCAATTACTTTTGGAGGAGCGTAGACAGACTGAAAATAATGCTCCTGGACATCGTGCAAAGTTGAAGAAGAGGCAGTCAAACCAATTTCCTTTTGGTTCAACAACCGGGAAAAGTTACATGGAGAAATTTGTGGAGATGCATTCACCTGAGTGCAAAATTGTCTGTGAAAGTTCTTTAACTTACACTAACCTGCAGATGGCATCAAAAGAGACTAGTGAGTTGGTTCCTGAAATACATGAAATTGGTACTGCAGATCCTCCTTACAAATTATTGCAAGGAAAGAGAAGCTTGGTTATGTCTCATATTAAACAAGAAAAAGAGCTAGAACCATCCATGAAGGAGTTGCATGAGGATGCTGTTGAGAGAGGAATCTTGAAGAAGCTGCCTGAACCAATTACCTACACTGAGATAGAGAAAATTCCATACACCTTTTATAAACCTCAAGATCAAAAGGAATCATCAGAGAATGAAAAAGAACCTGTGGTTGATATGGGAAGAAAATTAGAAGCCATTGGTGATGGATATCGATCTGATGACATTCTGTACACCTTTTATAAACCTCAAGATCATAAGGAATCATCAGAGAATGAAAAGGAACATGTGGTTGATATGGGAGAAAAATTAGAAGCGAATGGTGATGGATATCGATCTGATGACATCACCAGTGAGGTGGATAATTATATGGATGCCCTTGCTACCATGGAATCAGAAATGGAAACTGATACTGAGAGTAAAACTAAGAAGGAGAGAGGCATTTTCAGCATTGAAAGGCAGGGAATAGATTCTGATACTAATGAGGAACAACTAGAGCTCCAAAATCAGTTTCTGGACTCCCATTCTGTTGGAGAATCCAGTTCTTCAGATAATGGGAAAACTTCATTCAGAAAGGGAAGATCAAGCTTTTCCAATTTAGATACTTTAAGCACTTCTGCTAACAATGCTCCATCAGATGGCGATGTGGCAGCCAAAGTGTATCCATCTATTGATACCTGCCTGGGTGAACGTGCAGATGTGTCTTCCAAAATGTTCTCTGTTGATGGGGATAGTTTAGCAATTGAATCCTCAGAAAATGTGATCCGCAATGGTTCTTGCAATGAAGTATCTGAGGTCCCAAGTTACAAATCTGAGTTCAGTCAAAGATCTAGTTCCTCTGTCACAGATCAGTCCCAATTAAGCATCAATTTGGGTGAACTTCATTTGCAGCAGCCAGAATTGGATGAGATCTCCTATGACTCTCTAAAAGCTGGTACTAAGGGCTCATCTATTGATACATTCCTGGCTGGACTTGCAGATGTATCTTCTAAAAAGCATGGGAATGATTTAGAAATTAAATCCTCAGAAAACATGATCCTTAATGGTTCTTGCAATGAATTATCAGATGTCCCAAGTTACAAACCTGAGTTCGGTCAAGCATCTAGTTCCTCTGTCACAGATTCAGCTTCTATTTCGTCCCATTTAAGCATCAATTTGACTGAGCTTCATTTGCAGGGACCAGAATCAGACGAGATCTCCTCCGACTGTCTGAAAGCTGGTACCAAGGGTTCATCTTCAACTATTGAAGATGACAGGAAAAATTCAATTATGGATTTATCTTGTCCAACAAATGTCTCAGATCTCTCTTCCGAGGTGAGAGATAGTTTTCTTCATTTGGGGTCTGCCAAAGGCGAGCCTGTGGAGGAACTTGATGGTGTGAAAAATGATTTTCTCCATTCAGTGTCTGACAAAAAACAACTTATGGAAGAATTGGATGGTGGGGCCCTTGGTAGATCTCCAGCTGCTTCACTGAATCTGTCTTACATTTCAAACCTGGCTCCTGAAAGGGAAGACAATGGCACTTCTTTTGAAGAAGTGCATCCTACAGGGTATCCTGAAGATGGTTCCACTGAGAACCTTGATTCACAAAATTCTGTTATTTTGCCTACAGAAGAACAGGTCCATGACTTGGTAGGACATGACTTGGAAGCTAATATAGATACTGTACAACCTGAATATTTACCTTGTACCACCTGTGATGATCTAGAAGACGTTAATCCTGAAAGTAAGGTTGTGGAAACAGATACTGTTGTTCTATTAACAGGAAAAAACTCAAGATATTGTGAAGACAGTTCTGCTGGAAGCTCTGATTCACCATATGCAGTTTTGCCTACAGAAGAACATTTTGAAGGCTTGTCGGGAGGAGATGTAGAAGCTTCTGCATGTTCAGCACCACTTGAGCATGCTTGTACTACACTTGAACATTTACCTGCTTCTATTGCTGCAGGTTCTGTGGAAATTGCAGAGTCTGATGTGGATAGAGTTACCTTGTCAACAGCAGTGAACTCAGAATACTTGAAACCAGAATTGTATATTCTGAGTGATGCAGAGTCTGATATTCCAAGAATTGGTCATTTTGTTGAAGATGATGTTCTAGAAAGGAAAATTAAGGTTCCACCACTGGAATTGGTTCAGGAAGCTGATGGCAAAGACCATTCTGAAGTGAAAATGAATTCCAACAATCTTGAAGAACAGCCTAGTACATGTGATATCATGTTGAAAGATGAAGCTAGACTTGATGTTCCAGGAAGTACAGATTGGGTTCCATCAGTTGAATCAGATCAGGAAAAATATGGCAATGAGCATTCTTATGTGAAAACATCTTCCAACAATCTGGAATTACTATCCGATACATCTGATATTAGGATAAAAGATGAACCAAGAAGTGGTATGGTCCATTTGAGTCCCTGTGATTCAATGGGAATCTCTGCTCTTTGTCTTGGAATTCCATCCATATGTGACGTGCCTAGTTCTCCAAAGCCAGCATTGAATGAAACTCATTTAGATGATTTAACAACTGAAACAGTTCATGCGGAAACTGATGGTTATGATGATGCTGATAAAGATGATGCAGTAAGTGAAGCTGTTCATGCAGACATTAATGATTATGATGATGATGATGTGCACCCAAATCTGATAGGTTCTCCTTCCAGTAACCAGATAAAGTTGCAAGAAGAATATATTTGCAATGGGAATTCAGAACAATCCGAATTGGAAGTAACTGAGGCCTGTGGTACAAAACATATTTTAGAACCAGATGATCAAAAGGAAGTGAATCAACTAGAAATTATCACCGAGGATTTGAAGTTTGAACACTGTAGAATGGAGTTTCATGATACTTACAGTTCTGAATTAACTGCCAGTGCTCATGATTCATTGAAGTCGAATAATCTTTCTTCCACTTCGGAATCACTTGATGTTCATGATCATGCACTGCTGGTTGAACATGCCACAAGCAATTTGTATCTCAATGATGGCCTCTGTGCTCCCACACCTTCCAACAAAACCAATCAAGAATGTGAACCAAAACCAACCAACCAGAGAAATCTTTCTGAAAGTGCAGAAGATGTTATCCCTTCATCTACTAGTTTGCTTCCAGAGGGGGGAATTCCTTCAGAACAAGTATTGGAATTACAAGTTGATAAACCCAGTATAGACTCTTCGCATGATGGAGAGAATTCCAGATCATCTTATCTTCAGTGTGAACAAACACAATCTCCAAATCATATTGATTACAATGGCTGCTTTACTGTTCCATCTGAGTCCTCTTCTGTGGATTCTTTCAATCAATATACTGAGCCGGTACTCTCACCGCAACCTACTACTCAAAATTTTAATATGTCTAAGCAAGCCATGGACCCATTGGATTCAATACTTCCTAGCTTTGGCATGTTTGTTGAAGCAACCCATCAAAAATTGTTGCAACAACATCCAAGTGGACCAGCAATGGATTTTCCAGTTCCAGATCCGAATGCACTACAATCCAAGTTGGAGATGCCACCATTACCACCTCTTCCTCCTATACAGTGGAGGATGGGTAAATATCGAAATAGCCCCCTAACTTTGGAGGGAGCAATGATACAATCTAGTTTCAACCCATTCTTGACACCTATAGCAGCCACATCTGAAGAGCAGGCTAATGAGGGTTTCCCAACACTTAGGGAGGGGTTAACACTGCCTTCCAACCCTTTCTTATCATCTCCAGTGAATGAAGATGAGAAACCTCAACATGGTGATGAAATGTCTGGAGGAGAAATAGTACAGTCTAGTCTGAATCCATTCTCATCACAACTAGTGACTGTAGATGATGAAAATAGTAAACATGGTTTCCAAACCTTTGAACAGAAAATGTCAAATCTTAACCCATTCTTACCATTACCATCCCCAGATGATGAGAAGCCACAACATAGTCTTGCTTTAGGGGGAGAACTTGGGCAGCCTAGTTTGAACCCATTCACCTCACCATCACCCATCGAAGATGTGAATTCTGGACATGCTTGTATCTCTTTACAGGGGGAACCAACGGAGCCCCTGAAGCTGCTGGTAGCAAAACAAAATATAGAAGATGAGATGCCTCAACAAAGTTCTCTGTCTCCAGGGAGAGCATCACTGCATCTAGATTCATCTGTACTGCCAGTGACCATACCAGATGAGAAGCCTCAGCATGGTTCATTTAGTTTGGAGGGAGAAATGACATGGCCAGTGAGCACATCCACACAGCTCCCGAAAGTAGGGGATGGGAAGGTAAATGGAAAACTAATGGAGCCCCTGAACTTATCAGCAGCAAAACCAAATATAGAAGATGAGATGCTTCAACAAAATTCCCTGTCTCCAGGGCGAGGAGCATCACAAAATCTGGATTCATCTGTACTGCCAATGGCTTCAGATGTGGAGAAGCTCCATAATGGTTCATTTAGTTCAGAGGGAGAGATGATGTGGCCAATGAGCACATCTGCACAACTCCCTAATTTAGAAGATTGGAGGATAAATGGAAAGCCTTGGAGACAACCTCGGCCTAGAAACCCTCTCATTGAAGCTGTTGCCTCTCATGACAAAAGCATGGTAATAATGGTTATAGATGGTGTATCCTTTCTGAGTCATATCCACATGACATTGAAACTTAAACTTCTGTTGGTTTTGCAGTTAAGAAAGGTGACAGAACGGGTTCGGTCTCTGATTGAACCAAAGAAGGATGAAAGAGATTCATTACTAGAACAGATAAGGACTAAGGTTGGATGTTTGTAACCGTTTCTTTTTCTTTTGCATTTTTCACTGATTTCATGTTTGTCTTCTATGAAACTGTCTTCAGCTCTTATCATGAGAATGTTATTTTGTTTCAGTCATTTAACCTAAAGCCTGCAGTCACAACAAAACCCAGCATTCAGGGTCCCAAAACCAATTTGAACGTTGCTGCCATTTTGGAGAAAGCAAATGCAATTCGCCAGGTTGGTTTCTGTTTAGTGGATGTTAGCCCCTTCAAATTTTTTCTGTTGTTTTTACTTTTAAGATTGTAGATGGTGTTGAGACCATTGTTGGTTGACACAGGCATTAGCTGGGAGTGATGAAGATGATGATGATTGGAGTGATTCTTGAAAACCATTCGTTTTCTGGGAACATTGAAACTGCCATGGTACTTATCAATAGCCCATCATCAAGCTCTCCCTCCGAATTAGAGGATGGAAGGGACCAGGTGTATCCATGTGTAATATAATTTTTTTTTTCTCGTCTTTGAAAATGTATTCAATAGTTGAGGTTGTATTTTACCCACAAAAAGATCTGTGGGATCAAATGATGTATTCGTATGAACTCCGAGTCTCAGCGTGTAAGCGCTATTTCAACGTCCATACATAGTACATAGCTATCCAAAGCTTGTTAATTGTTATCAGTGGCATTCTTTTGCATCCAAGCATTGGAGTCGGACTCTCTCTTTGGCGTTTTGTTTACGGTTTATACAAATATACCAATATACCACCATTATTAACCAGACATGTTGCGTTAGCTGAAACCTGAAGATGCGCGTTCTTGCCCTAGTTATTCTTATTTTTCTTGTTTGGATACTTTGATATTTCTTTTGGTTTAGGCTTATTCTCTATTCTTGACATCCCAGGCTGCTGTGCTTAGTTCAAACGAAGGATCAAAATTTCGTTACATATCGGTCCATATTGGCTGATATGTATCGTATCGGAGCCTTTCTGATACGCCTCTACAGGGAGTGTTTCGGGCTGGCAAATGGTTTAGAGGGTAGACCGGCCTTAAAATGGCCCTTCTGAACCAGTTTTGAAGAAAAAAATAAACACTTAAAAACAGTACCGATACATGCCAATATGCCCTACCGGTGTATCACCCTGAATCAATATTTTGAACCTTGGTTCAAATTGGTTTTGATGAAATGTATTTGAGCAGAAAAAAAGATGATAGTCCTCATTGGATAGAATGCTTTCAAGCGCATTATTATTCTGTGAATGTTACCCTCCGGGCCATGGTTTTTGAACCTTAGTTGACCTGGATGGTTGGACCGTTTGGTTCAGAAACCAGTCAGGCAACTGGTTTTGTTTCACCCCTGAACCTTCTTTTTTTTTTTGTCCAAAAACTGTTGACTTGGTAAATGATCCACTGATCCGGGCAGTGGAGCTGTTGATTCAGACAATGGTTTTTGGTTTTTGTTTTTTTATTTTTTAAATTGCAACTGACTGATTATTTGGACCAGACAATTGAACTGCTGAATCAGAAACCGGTGGCCAATGGGTTTTAAAACATTGCTCTGGACTTGGAGTACTGTTTGTATGATTTATCAGGCAATGCTAACCTTTGAGAGAAGTTATTTATCTATTTTCTCTATTTTTTGTATTTTTTATCTTTTTTTGTTTTAAAAATATAAAACAGTAATAATTGCTTATCTTGATTAGATTAATAAAGTTGCACACTATTAGAAAGCTTTGTGTTTTCCAAGGCCTCTTATTTTAATGCATGTTATTATTATATTTAAAAGAGAGAGAGAGAGAGAGAGAGAGAGAAAATAGTAATAATATAAATTAAGGTTTTTAAAATTGAACCGGACAACGAACCGGCCAGAGGTCCGGTTTCCGGGTCGAATGGTCCAACTATTTGAATCAAACGGACAGCCCGTTTTGACAACAAAATAAAAAAATGGCCAAAACTGTTGGACTGTTCAGACAGTTTGACTGCCTAGGTCAGCAGTTTGCTGATCAAATCAACAGTTTTTGGCAAAATAACGGTTTTGGGGCAAAACGGAATTGGTCACCTAACCGGCTCCCGATTTTTCTGGTCCGGTCCAGTTTTGAAAACCATGATATAAATCAAATAATATAAATAGATTGAGGTTAAACAATCAAAAAATTATTAATTTAAAAATACACTAAACTTTCACTACAAAAATAAATATTAACAAAACTTAGTAAATGTTAAAAATGTGTTTCAATTCCACTTAAAAATCCAACTTAATAAACAATAATAAAAATAAGAAATTTAAATAGATAACTTAATTGATAGTTTTAATACTACTATTAGATAACTTATGAGTTGAGACCTTAATAAACACCAATAAAAAATATTAATTGATAGTTTTAAAATACCAACAATTAATTAAAAATCCGAAAAAGTTTGAAAAACCTAAACATAATTAAAATACTAAAAATAATTAAAAAATATTAAAAATTAACAATATTTTATATTAATAAGGGTATTTACTAAAAATAATAAAAAAGTACAATTAATAGTATTTTGTTATTAAAAATACCAAAAATTATTAAAAAAATACCCAAGCAGAAATTATTGAAAAATATTGAAAATTAGTTGTATTTTTATTAACTATGGTATTTATTTAGTTATTTAATTTATTTTTACTGAAAGCACATGCAAATTAATTTTGTAGTGACTAATATGCAAAAATAAATGATGAAAATATTGAAATGTATTGAAAAGTACTCATATGCAAAAATTACTAAATAATAATGAAAAAACACCAAAAATGAATTAAAAATCTGAAAATTCTGAAAAAACTAAAGCTTAAGTAAAATACTAAAAATACTTACAAAATTAAATTAATTGTATTTTATTGCAAAAAATATTGAATAGTAATGAAAAAATAATGTATTTTAATTATTAATAGTAATATAATTAACGATAATTATTTTTAAATTGTTATCAACAGTAATTATAATTTAAGCTATAAATAGTAGAAAATTACATTTAGTTACCAAAAAGTTATATTTAATTACCAGAAAATTACATTTAATTTGTTTTAGCTAAGAAATTAGCAATATTTCTTAAAATATGATAACTCGATTAGATCTATAAATTTGCAGGCTTAAGCAACTATTTTCTTTTGAATCAGATCTAACTGAGGCATGCCCATACGTTATCAAGGATAATCAGATATGAAGTCTAATTGGGTATCAAACTTTTGGAGTCCAATGATGGCTTTAGCGGATAGGGCCCAATCTAAACAACCCCTAATAAACTCAACTTTGAACTTATATGCATATATGGTAAATATTATTATATAATATTTAAATAACAAATTTTATATTAATATATATATAAATGTTATATATTTTTTTATACTAGACTAAAATTAAATAAAAATTTTAGTTTGTAAAAAATCATAGTTTTATAATTAACACGGGCCTCTTTATCAACAAAAAATGTGCAAGCCCGAGCCCAAGCTCAGCCCGACCATTGGGCCTAGATCTTGAGCCCGAGCCCGAAACCCAATCTGTACACAAAATGTCTTATTTTCACTATACTTTTATAAACTAATATTATATTAATTTAATAAATTAATAAACTAATTTATATTTCCTAATAGTAAATTGATATTTATTAATAATTTAAAAAGCATATATAAATATTTATTTATTTATTATATATAACATAAGTACTTTTTATATATGTAATAGTATTGCCCGGGCATATTTGAGAAAGCCCGAGCTCGAGCCCACGAGCCTAAAATTTTTTCCAATCTTGAAAAATAATGGGTCAGGTCGGGCTAGGCTAGGCCGTCAGGCTACTTGGTCCAAAAATAGGTCTAATTGTATATATAAACAATTGTATACATCAAAAATCATATGAAATAAAAATTTAAACATCTTTTTCATTTTTTTTCAAATGGACCTCTCATAGCTTGATCTGATCCGTGGCCTAACTTGGCCAAAGGCTCAGCCCAGCATAACTCGATTTACACCTCTACCTGAACCTGCCCAATACTAGGGGTAGGGCAAGGAAATTCGAGGATTCCCCATCCTTGATGTGGAGTGGGGTGCCTTGCCCCTAAACTCACCCGACATTGAGGAGTGGTTGCCTTGCCTTGAACCCGCTTGACACTGCACACTGGGGACGGAGTAGAGTTTCTTGACTATGGGGCAGGGACAGGGATGGAGTGCCCTGCCCTGAACCCACCCCGTTGTCATTCCTATATAATTGTTAATTATTAGTGAAACTAATAAAAATATTAGCTTTTGTAACTATTTTTATTTATTTAAAGTTAATCAAAATTTCATTTAAAAATAATAAAAATAATAACTATTATTAAAATTACTATAAATTATTAACAAAACTAATTTTATTAAAAAATATTTGTTCATATTAAATTAAGAATAATATATTCTGTAAATCAACATGAAATAAAAATACAATTATTAAAATTTTAGATATTAAGAATAACTTTGAATGCTTTTAATTAATTATCAACAAATTTTGATTATTAATTTAATATTAATTAATAGTAGTATAAGGATAAAAACCCAACTACCCAACCCATCCAGAAGATTCCGACAGGTTCTGTGCACATTAAATAATTTTTATAATATTTAAGAATTTCAGAAATAATTACAGGCAAGAAATTGCTCAATTATGTTTTTATGGGTAAACAGGTTGACTACACTAGATAGCCAAAATTCTAACTCCTTGGGGCTGCGAACGGATCAGTTTGGACTTCGAACAAACCTACAACCTCCCAACCCCAATGATAGCAGGATTTGATAGAGGAAATCCGATTTGGTTCCCAAGACTAAGTCCAGATCTGCTCACTCTTCATACCGACCTCACAGGCACATCATATCATGTATCGGAACAACATCTCTCCCATACTTATTATTATTCATGGAAGGAAATTTGTCAAAAACTCATCATGAGTTTTCAGCATTTCTCTTAAACTCACCACAACTTTTCAAAATGTCTAAAACTCACTATATCACTAACTTGACATTAAAGAGGCTAACATCTGCTATTATATTACCATTTTAACCTTCATAGAAAATATATAAAATATATACATATATTTTAATACTTAGATATGAAAAAAGGAAAAACTTCAAAAAATATTTTCAAATATAAAATACATAAAAACATAGAAATTGGAAAAAATATAAAAAATTATAAAAATTGCACACAAAATAAACAATTATTTTCAAATTATAGAAACTATAGAAATTGAAAAACAAAATTAGAAAATAAAAATTATAGAAAAAACACCAAAAGTTATAGAAAAACACAGAAATCACAAATAAATAAAAAAGTACAAAATATTTTATAGATTGTAGAAAATAGAAAATGTAAAAAAAATAGAAATTATAACAAAACACTAAAATGTAAAAAGAAAAGAAAGTGAAAAGTGAAAAGACCATTTTCCTCTAACTCACCATTCAAGGGTGATTTTGTCATAAAAATTGTTATTTATGCTGATATAGACACCTCCGTTAAGAAACAAGGTGAGTTTTGAAAAATAAAATGCTTCCGGATGTGTATGTGAGATCGGTGTAAGGTGCGCTCTGGGAGGAGCAGGTCCTAATTCCAACGAATGACACTGTCATTCGCCTAGTAAGAAGGAAAGTTCAGTATAGTAGATGGTTCCTTCTTTCTTGTATGATCCATTTTTCTCGTATTCATTTTTGAAATATTTGGCGGGAGAAGGGTATGACCTTCCTCACCAATCCAACTACATCATCATTTTCGAAGACTTTAGAGATCAAAAGACGCCTCCTCCAAGGATGCAACAACTTCAAAGAGCTCAAGCATGTCCATGCTCGGCTTCTTCGATTCGGCCTCGATCAGGACAATTATCTTGTCAACATGATCTTGAAATCGTGCTTAGAATCTGGAGAGACGCAGCACGCCCGACTCGTTTTCTCTCAAACCAGAGAACCAAATATCTTCTTGTGGAATACAATGATCCGTGGCTTCGTATCCAATGATTGTCTTTACGACGCAATCAAATTTTACGGCCTTATGCGAAGAGAGGGCTTGTTCCCCAATAATTTCACTTTCCCTTTTGTTCTCAAGGCGTGTGCCAGGCTCTCCGATCTTGAATTGGGGATCAAGATCCACACACACGTACTGAAAGCGGGATTTGACTACGATGTGTATGTCAAGACTAGCTTAGTATGTTTGTATGCGAAATGTGGGTGCGTGGGAAATGCCCATAAAGTATTTGATGAGATGCCAGACAAAAATGTTGTTTCTTGGACTGCAATCATTAGTGGGTATATAGATTTTGGAAATTTTGGGGAAGCAGTTGTAATGTTTCAGAAGCTTTTGGAGATGGGTCTTAAGCCGGATAGCTTTACCCTTGTTAGGGTCCTGTCTGCATGTTCTCAACTAGGGGATGTAAAAAATGGAGAATGGATACACAGATACATAAGAGAGATGGGGATGGATCGTAATGTCTTTGTGGCTACGTCTTTGGTGGATATGTATACAAAGTGTGGAAGCATGGAGAAAGCCCGCAGTGTCTTTGATGGAATGCATGAGAAAGATACGGTTTCTTGGAGTGCCATGATTGCAGGGTATGCAATGAATGGAGTCCCTAAAGAGGCTGTGGAACTTTTCTTCCAGATGCAGAGAGAAAATGTAAAACCTGATTGTTTTACCATGGTTGGGATTCTTTCTGCTTGTGCACAATTAGGAGCTTTCGAATTAGGGGACTGGGTGAGTGGTTTGATTGGTAAAAATGAGTATCTCAATAATTTTGTCCTAGGTACTGCATTGATTGACATGTATGCAAAATGTGGGAGAATGAGTAGGGCATGGTGGATCTTTGAAGAAATGAAGGAAAGAGATGTAGTGGTTTGGAATGCAATTATCTCTGGGCTCTCCATGAATGGGCATGTGAAAGCTGCATTTGGGCTTTTTGGTCAGATGGAAAAATTGGGAATTCAACCCGATGGGAACACTTTCATTGGTCTTCTTTGTGGTTGCACTCATGCTGGTCTAGTTGAAGACGGTCGCCAATATTTTGTTAGCATGAGTCGCATCTACTCCTTAACTCCTAGGATTGAACATTATGGATGTATTGTTGACCTTCTTGGTCGTGCCGGGTTTTTAGATGAGGCTCACCAATTGATTAAAGACATGCCAATTCAGGCCAATGCTGTTGTTTGGGGGGCCTTGTTGGGTGGATGCAGGATACATCGGGACACTCAGTTGGCTGAACATGTATTAAAACGCCTCATCGAGTTAGAACCATGTAATTCAGGAAACTACGTCCTGTTATCAAATATCTATTCCACAAGTGGTAGGTGGAATGATGCGGCAAACCTCAGGTTTCTGATGAACGAGAAGGGTATTCAAAAGACACCAGGATGTAGTTGGATTGAGATCAGTGGGGTTGTTCATGAGTTTCGTGTAGGAGACCGATCCCATGCCTTGTCAGAGAAGATATATTTGAAGCTTGATGAATTAGCTAAGAAATTGAAGGAAGTGGGCTACATGCCTACCACTGAGTTTGTGTTATTTGATATAGAAGAAGAGGAGAAGGAGCACTCCCTTGGCTGTCACAGTGAGAAATTGGCTATTGGATTTGGTTTGATCAGTACAGAGTCAAGAGATGTGATTCGAGTTGTGAAAAATCTCCGAGTCTGTGGTGATTGTCATACGGCCATAAAACTAATATCTAAGATAACAGATCGAGAGATAATTGTCAGGGATAATAATCGATTCCATTATTTCCAAAAAGGATCATGCTCATGCAGAGACTATTGGTGAATCTATACTAGTAAAAGTATGAAACCATCAGGTTCTCTCTCTCTCTCTCTCTATAATTTCACTATTTGCATTTTTTTTTTGGGGGGGGTCCTTATGAATTATGATACACAGACTTTTTTCTTCCAATTCTACACTGTCAGCTTTTGGATATTTTAAGTAAATCAAATGATTAATAGGGACATAATGGTCTATACGAGCCATTCTTTTTAATTTCATATATTTAACCTGTTCAATTTTGTAGACTTTTTATGACTAAAATAGCTCTATAATCCTGCAGTCTGATTTTTATTTTTTTTATTCTAATGATCTGCAGTCTGATTTTCTTATATTTCAGGGCATTCTTCTTTTAATAGTAAACAAAAAGAAAAGGATTTATAGTAAAACTAGAATAAGGATCCTGAGAAACACATAAAAACTTCTCTACTATAATCCTTCAGGAATTCAAATTACTAGTTTTAGTGGAACCCTACCTAAAGATTCAGTTTGGAATCTATTCTACCTACAAGAAGCTGAGGAAGAACTAGAAGGAACTAGGAAGACAATGAAGAATAATCCCAAGAAGTCATGATTTTCTGTTGGGACTCCAGGTCAGTTTTTCCTTTATTTTTCTTTTAAAAATAGAAGAACTATAATTACTAGAAATGTTCTGCTTATTTTGTGATGTCCCCAAGATTTATCTTTAGAATTTGTCTGTTTGTCTCTGTTACACTCTTCTGTTAATTCTTGCGGTAATTACTAGATCTAGAGAGTGTTGGCCCCTGAGGATATTATAAGTGAAGTATATCAACTGTTCTTGTATGGCTCATGACACTTTATGAGTGTTGGCCCCAACTCTCTCTCTCTCTCTCTCTCTCATGTAGTGCACACTCACTCTTCACATGCCTAGAATCTCTCTCTTAAGTGCATTTAGAATATATCAATTTCTACGGTGTTTTCTATGTCTACCTATCAGACTAGGAAAGATGTTACACTACACTGAACTTCTCAAGACCATTAAATGGCTACATCTTAGGGTATACTCTACCTTCACAATTGATAAGGTGGTTGAAGTGACAAAGTTGAAGGCAATTATGGAATGCCATTTTGAACTGTTTATTATGGCACAATATGCGTTTGTTCAAGCACATGACATGTCTGTTCAACACTAAGATACCATTTCTTTAACTATATTTTTATGAATAGCTCTATCCTAACAACTACATGCATGCATGCAAGTTAAATCAATTATATTTGAAGGCAAGCTCTGAAGGAAATCTTGGACTATCAGGTATTGTGGTTGAAGTGACAAAGTTGAAGGCAATTATGGAATGCCATTTTGAACTGTTTATTATGGCACAATATGCGTTCGTTTAAGCACATGATATGTCTGTTCAACACTAAGATACCATTTCTTTTAACTATATTTTTATGAATAGCTCTATCCTAACAACTACATTTATGCATGCAAGTTAAATCAATGAAGGCAAGCTCTAAAGGAAATCTTGGACTATCAGGTATTAGAAATATTTTATAAAATTCTAATGGGATCATACTTTGGGTGGCCTTTTGGCAATGTGGATTTTCCAAAAGCTCAAGTTTTTGCCCTTCTTTTGCAGTCCCAAATCACTAAACAGGCAAATGTTTCATCTCTTGTCATGATAAAATTCACAGCCTTTGCAGATGGGAAGTAATTGGGCAAAATTGTTGTGCAAATGTATTGGAGTGTTTTGATTTGATGGGTGTAAAAGAATTTGAATTTTTTGTGGTTTGGTTTTCTGAGGGTGGGGTGGTTAGGTGGCAGGTCTGGGAATTTAGGGCTTGAACATTAATCCTATTTGTTTTTAGTTCCGTTATGCTATGGTCAGGTTTGGGGTTTTATATGATTAGGCTTTTGAATTATGGTATTTGGAGGGTGAAAGGCGAGGATGGGTTTGTTGTTCTGTTCTTTGTAATTCTCTCTTCTCTTGCTTAATAAATTTTCTTTTTTATTTACTACCCAAAAAATAAAATAAAATTCACAGTGTTTTCATTTCTATTCCCCCACCCCTACCCTTGAACTGTACTCCTAAAATGTTATTGGCATCGTGAACGTCATTGAGCCTTTAGATGAAGTTCTCTGAAGTGCCTATACCTTAGAACCAGTTGCATTTCTGGTAAACATTCTTATTACAAAATTTTACATGATATCCATTCCTTTTGGTGGTAACTCAGTAAAATAGTGAGGAGTTTATCCATTCTTAGTCCAACATGTCGTGTCAATACTGGATTCAAACATGTAAGGGAGCGATTGAGGTGATGTTTGGTACCATTGCTGATTCCTCTAATGAGATATTTCATAAGTCACTAATTTCTGAGATCATTGATTTCTTAGAAACCAGAGAAATTGTTTGTTTGATATTTGTTAAGTCTTTAAGTTTGTTGGACTAGGAGCAGGTTATTAAGATACTCCCAGACACAACTTAAAAAAATAATAATAAAGAAGAAAAAGGGCTTTCTTATAAGCCCAGTTAGTCCTATTGGTGGGCTGAAACATTTTAGTAAAGAAAGAGGTCTGCAGTCTAGTTTAGTGAACAACAGAATCCATGTTAATTGGGCTTGTTTGTAATGCAATAAATATTTAATGGGCCTACAGTAGAACCCATTTAATGGAACAACATGCCCTAAAAGAATAAATTTATATTAATTGATTTCTTATGAGGTGTCTCACTTATTTATAAGGGGATGCCACTTGTTCTATTCTAACAAGAGGGTTATTTTTCCTCTTTTAACCACTTGAAGTGGGGGGGACACATGTCACTCTAGGGGAGAGAGTTATTTTCCCTCCTCTAACCACTTTAGGGGAGAGAATTGTTTTCCTTTCTTTAACCACTAAGTAGGGGGACACCTTTCATCCTAGGGAGAGAGTTTTCTTCTCCCTCCTTAACCCATTTTAAGTGGGGGGAAACTTGTCACCTTAGGAAGGAAAGAGTTTTCTTTTCCCTCCTTAACCCATTTTAAATGGGGTGACACTTGACACTCTAAGAAGAGGGGAGTTATTTAACCACTTTCATCCTTTATATAAACCCCTTTCCTACAAGGAGAATGGGGTAATGTCATTTTGTTGGTTAATACTAAATTATCTACAAGATTTCTAGCACTAAGAAACAAGTGGGAAGAGAAAAGAGAAGAATATTGATGTGGAGAGCATAAAAAAAAAGGAAGAGGAATGTAGGGAATCTTGTTTTCTTCCTACACCCCTTCAATATGATATTCCTTGTGCTTCCCACATGAGATGGAAGACCATATTCTTTCTATTCCTCTCACTCATTTTTTCTTCATTTTTTTCTTTTCTTCCTTGTTTCATATTGAAATACATGTAAGGAGATAACCATCTATAGCCTTGTCTATGAAACTTGGATAATTATGGTTCCTTACTTCATTTTGACCCTGAAAATCAATACTTTATGTGAGGGAGACAACTATCTACAGCCTTGTTCATGAAACTTGGTTGATTATGCTTCCTCACAGCATGATAATGCATATAACTACAATTTAAAGGTCATTTGTAGCCTTATTGATGAAATATGACTATTTATGAGATCCTATTTACTTGTTATGTATAAAAAGTTGTTTATTTATTTGCTGGTTTTCTCTTAAACAAAGAGGGTATATATACTAGAATTTTCAAAGAAAAATTCTGTAGAAAAATGATACTTAGTTTAGTCTATTCATTTGTACTTCTGAATCGGAATCAAAATGTTTTCTCTACCCCTAGCGGAGATGTAATTAAGGGAATATCTATGTAATTTCTTGAATGGGACTTACCCAAATAACAAAAGAAACCCAGTTATTAGTCTAATTGGGTGAATTATGTTATGTGAGAAATTATACTAAAATTTTTCCACTAACAGTATAATTGATGCCATATCAACCAATTTCTGAGAAATTGGCAAAGTTTGTTTTATAGTGATTACTACCAGTGATTTTTATTTTATGGGTACTATCTCCCTTATCCACATCAGATGCCATGCCATCCAAAAATTGGAATCGGCCCGATTTTAATAATCATTTTTTTAGCGATTTTCTTATTTCTCAAAAAGCAACCAACCAAAATTCAAAAATCGCTAATGTGGTTTTGATATGGCAATGATTTCTAAGAAATTAGCAATAGTACCAAACATCACCTTAGTTTTTTTGTTTTTTTCAAAAGCATGCTTTCACAATTTTCCTATGTTAAATAGGTTTAGCTTTAAAATTCTAAATGCATTAGGAAGAACAAAACCAAGTAGAAGGGGAAGACCGAAGAAAATGTTGTTTGAAGTGGTAAAAATGATTTAAGGACATGTAATTTGATAGAAAAACGCCTATAACACTATTTATTTATCTATATTCAAACAAGTAAAATAAGCATAAATAGAGGTATCATGTTTAAGTAATTTGTTATCTCTTTCTCTCTCTCTCTCTAATTCAAACTAGTATTGCCACTTTGCCAGACTATGGTGAAAGACAAAACCACTTTGGTCAATGGGTCATATGGTTCAATTGTTCAACTCATTTAAAGAAAATGTCAAAAAGAGAGAAAATAAGAAAAATAACAAACAACTCCACATTATCTTTTAAAGTTATATTATCTATACTACTATTAAAATTGTGAACGAGAGTGTGAAAATTTTTGTTTGACTAAAATACCTCAAATATTTTAATTTAGCCTCTCTCATAGTGAGGACAAAAATGTAATTTTAATAACCTGTTTTTCCTCATTCAAATCCTCCTCATTAAGTCTTATATATTTAAGGTATGTAATAGCTCACAATAACATTCATTGAATTCTATTCTTGATTAGAATATCCTTATTCTTGAATTTGGTCTTTCTAATTATGAGGGCATAAAATGTAACTTGAATTACTACATTTCTCCTCATTCAAATCCCTCTCATTAAGTCTTATATTTAGGGCATTAACTCCCATTTTTATTAACTCTTCTATTAATTGACCATATTAAAAAATGTGTACCAAGAATAATTGTTTTATTGATGATAAAAATAAAATACAAATTTAAAATCAACCCAAAATAGAGTTGTTTTCCTATTTGGTAGAAAGTCAACAATTCAACCTTTTAGGTTAAATGTGTAAATCCTTGATATCATAATTAAATAATAATAATAAAAATTAGGGTAAATTACACAGACCAGGGGGTATGTGACAAAGACCTTCCCGTACTTTGGCCATTAGACAAAGGCCCAACCGTTAAGTTAGATAACATAATGCGTTAAATTACTAAAATACCCATAAGAACTTTTTGTATTTTCTTTTTATTGCCCTTTTCTCTTAAAAATCCCTTTTCTTCCTTGTGTTATACTATGCCTTTAGCTATCTGTGAGTAACCTTTGGTATGGATATGATCATGCATAGTGAAACTCTTACATTGCATTTTCTCATCTTTTCAATTTCTTTTACTTCGAAGGCTCAAAGCCATGGCCAACTCAGAGCTGATAGCTCCCAACGCCACCTTCTTCTTGGAAAAAGAAATGTTTTAATGGTGAAGAGATGAGATGGGTCAACTAAAATACTCCATTTTTGTCTCAAGTCTTGAGTCTCGACCTCGATCTCTCGATCCTATATAACCAGTAGTGGCCTTTACAAGGTCCTCGACTAATCTCTATTTGAAACTATAAACGAAGACATCCTTTTCCCTTTGGACATCGATCTTGACTTCAACTTCACCAGCTACACTTCCAATACCTACCTCCACGGACCGCACCTTCACCTCTTCTAGCACTTGCAACAGTCTTAGCGTCAGCTCTAATGCTCTCGCCTTTCTTCCTCCATTGGAGCAGGATGGCTGCATTGGAAATCCGATCCCCAGTGGGTGGCAATAGGAATGGTAATGGGTAGGGTACTCGTGCAAATTGCCTTACCCATTTCCGAACCAACCTATCTATCCTTGATTCCAAACCCGTCTAACTTTTCCTCTTAATTTCCAAAACCCATCCCGATCCGTCCCACCCGTTAAACCCCTTGACCAAATGTTTTCTATTAAAATAAAGTTTCTTAATGCTTATAGTGTGATTTGAATCAGGATCAATTAATGATAGCACCAAATCTCTTAATACTACTTTAAGCCACTAAGTCATCTCGCCTTTTGTGTTATTTAATGAAATAAAATAGATTTTATTAACTTTTGTGTTCATTAAAACAATCAATACATGTATATGATTAACAATTCCAACTAAAAATTAAAAGAAATAATATTTAAAATTAGCATTTTATAACTAAACAAAATAAACAATCTATCAAATCCAAATTTACATCAAATGATGATTTTAATACCAAGAAATTTATACAAATAAAATATTAATAATACAATAATTATCTTAGTACTTAAAATTTATAAATCTGTGCATGATATATAATATAATAGGTTCATATTTATGTATCTCAGGTATCATGTATCGGATACCCTAAAGTCAAAACCCAAACTCATCCCAAATCCTGTAGGGTTTTGATAAACGGGTCCTATTAGGGTTATTCCCACAAAATTGCCATCCTTAAGCGTCAATCAAAATCGCCACTAAACTCTCCTCCAACGAGTCCTTGCACCTCAGCCAACTCAAGCTCGTTCAACCACCCTTTCCTACCAACGCTCTACATTTATGCCCATCTAGAGAAGTCACATTACTCTTGTCTATTAATCGACTATTGCCTCGGTGGTGACCTCCATTCGCTCTTCCACAAGCAACTGAGACATTGCTTTCGGGTCGACTCGGTTCGGTTTTTTTGCGATGGAGGTGTTGGTGGCTTTGGAATTACTACACGTGCTTGGGGTGGTGTACTGGGATCTATTGATCAAGGCCGATGGCCATATAATGTTGTCAAACTTTGACTTGTGTTTTAGAGCCGATGTGCTTCCCACCCCGACAAACGCCACTTTCATCTAGGGTGGAGTCAACCAAAAAATAGCCTACCTATTTTGGAATGGTTTCCCGATGACATAAAATGACAAAGGTGGCAAAGTTGGTGGCGGAGTCGAAGACGGTGTTCTCGAAATCTTGCATTGGCACGCATGAGTATCTTGTGTTGAGTTGTTTAGTGGCAACAAACATGGTAACTAGACCTGTTCATGGGCCGGGCCAGGCTGGGTCGGGTTTTCACTTGTCATTAAGGGAAATATGTTAGGCCCGAGCCCGAGCCCGGCCCGACCAATGGGCCTATAATTTGGGCTTGAGCCTGGCCTTGATAAAAAGCCCAAAGACTGAGCCTGAGCCCAAAGTCCGACCTAATAAAAAGAAAACAATTTTCCCTATTCAAATTAGAATTAAAAATTCAGATAGTTTTTTTTCCTATTTAAATGAACAATGGGCCTATAAGATGGTTTTTTCCCCTTTCTTTTATATTTTAAAACACAGTTTTACATTCTTAAATAAAAAAATTTATTCAAATGGACATAATCACATTACTCACTTTAAGTCTAATATTAGGTCGGGCCGGGCTATTTTGACAAAACCCAAGCCCGGCTCGAATTTATTGCAGGCCGTGCTTTTTGGCCCGAATTTAAGCCCGCGGGCCTATAACCATGTTCAAGCCCGTTCGGGAGCCGAGCTGGGCCGGACTGGCCCATCGGGCCACCCGGCCCATGAACAAGTCTAATGGTAACGGAGTGGATTGGTGGGAATTTGGGTCGGTGATCTAATTGATCTCCAGGAATACATCATGAACGGTGGCCAAGATTTATATGCAAGGGTGGCAGCTCCAGATGCTTTAGCACGGTGGAGAAGTAAGTGGGAAAAATTGTCCAGAAAATGATCATAAGGGTAATTTAGGGATTATAAAATATGGTAACTGTGAAAATGAAATATTTTTCGAATATACCTGAGGGAACATTGACGGAGGGGGTCTTTGTCTAATGGCCAAAGTACGGGGGGTGGTTATCGCAAAATAAGAAAAAAGTACTAGAGGATCTTTGTCACAAACCGCATAGTATGGGGGCCCGTGTAATTTACCCTAAAAATAAAAAAAAATAGAAAATAAATAAAAGTAAAGAAATTAAAAGATTATATATAAAAGATATTTAGATACATCTCTAATATTATATATTTATTATATTAAAATAAGTATGATAAATAAAAATAAAATTATATTATTTACTATTATCCTTTTAGAGAGTAGTCATGTATCAGTATTGCCTTCCAAGAGTGCTCGGCTGTATTTGAGTAGTTGTGTTATGTCGTGCACATCACTTGAGCCCTTTGGTTGGATCATCCACCGATCAAAAATGCCAATTGGGTGATCGTAAATTCGTAACACAGGTGGGGATTTGCCTTTGTCTTCTTCAAGGATGAAAATATCTTTCTCAATCCAATCCGATTGGGAAATATCGGATTTATGAATGCCTTGCAAGTTGCAGCAAACGCTTGAACATTGTCCCATTTGGCCAGTTGCAAATCCTAACTCTTCGGTGTGATCGGACATTCTTAAATCTTTAATCCTGATTTCCGAGGAGAAATGTTCATGGCTGGACGGTGAAAGTGTGGATTTCAGATATAGCTCTCGGACATTTAAGCCCATACAGAATTACAGATCAGCCTCACCCTCACGTTCTCATCTAATCCGTCTGATTCTATGTCGACTTGATGATCGGGAAAATGCGGGATATGCGGCATAGATGCATGACATGAGGACACAATAGCAAATCTGACGGCTATGATTATGTTATCACTAATCAGATATAATTCTTCCTCAAGTGGGTCACACCACGAGATGGTCCCAGTGCTAATCTTCAATCCAACCGCCTATAAATATCTTGCAGACCAAGATTTCCTTTCGGGTGTTGGAACCAAGGAACCTTCGTCCTCCGCAACGCGCTCTGGAAATCTGCATTCCAGTTCGACGCGTATATATACTTTATTTCTGGGTTACTCGCTCGTCTCTCTCGTTGGTAAGATGGGTTTAAGCTTCACTCCTTGAGAACCCTACAACTCTGTTCTCGAAGGTTTCAAGATTTAGACAGGCCTGGGCTATCGACCTTGCCAAATGATTACCACTTTCAGTTATTCTTTATGAAAGTTGTTTTTCTTCTCATCCTATTTATATATAAAAGGTAAAATAAAAGCCTTCTGTTTTATGGGAAAATCACTTCCTTCTACGACCAGGCTACAAGAATTCGCTAAAGTTACATCAGAGAAGTTTAAGGGCCCGAAACACACGAAACCCATACAGAAAAGCAGTTCATTTTCGCCGGAAATAGCAAAATCAGGCTGTGGCGGCGGAGCATCTAAGCATTTGAAGTTGACAATGGAGAACCCAGAGAGGCAGACCCGTGTGCCGTTGTCGGAGGTGGTCTCTGATTGCGTTAAGCGGTGGTTTCAGGACACGCTCAAGGAGGCCAAGGCCGGTGATAGCGCCATGCAAATCCTGGTGGGTCAGATGTATTACAGCGGTTATGGAGTTCCCAGAGATGCCCAGAAGGTGAGCTCTTAGTCTTTTCGTGCTTTTCTGTTTGTTCCCTTGTTTTTTATCCACTTTTCACGGTTGTGTTTTTGTTGATAGGGAAGTACTGTTCAAGATAGTTAGGGTTCTTTTAGTTTCTAATCCTTCTCTTTGTTTCTCTTTTTGTTTCTACGGCAGAGTTCATGAAGAAATTCGACTGTTTCTTTTTCGGATTATAATCAGTTTCTTTTTAAAAACTTGATTTTATGTTGGAATTGTAGGGAAGAGCTTGGATTACAAGAGCTTCCAAGAGCCGATCTTCTGCATGGAAGGTTAGCGATAAACATCCAGGTGACTCTCTAGCTTTATGTATGTGTGTGAGAGAGAGATTGACTGTGTTTATCTTACAAATCTTTATTTGGTTCTCCTTAGGTTATAATGCAAGTGATTCAGATTCAGAAGAGGAAGTGAAAGGTGATGCAAAATAAAGATTATTTGGGCTTTGAGGATGAAAGAAAAAGTTTAAAAGTGAGTTGACATTTTTCTATAATTCCTCATCTTTCTGGACTAGGCCATTAGCATGTTTGTGGTTGCATCTGTTTCATTTATGGAGAGAATCCAGCTGGTTCCATCTTTTTCTTTTCAATAAATATTTATGTTCTTTAACCGGTGACTCGAAAAAATAAATATTTATGTTCTTATTACCAATAATAGATTATAGATGATTTATGTTCTTATTCTGATGCAATTGCTCAACATCAACACTGTAAAGGATAATCATGTGCAGCATTAATTATATAAGTTTTTGGTGAAACACAGTCTAATTTCTGTTTATGAAAGTGACTTTAAAAGCTTCAAGCTAATTTCTATTCAAGTTAACATCTTGCACCTACCACTGCTAGTCTATGTTTTGTAATGTTCTGTAATGAAATTCAGTAGCTGTTATGGATCTTGTTGGCTATTGATATTACTATCCTTACTTCCCAAATCCCAACAAGTCATTTCTATTAATGAGTCTCCTTGATCACATTATTGATGGTCAAGCATAATATAAACTCAAGAGAACTTTTTATTTTCTATGTAGAGGAGAGCAAGATTTGAATTATAAATGTTTCTTTAACTGGCAATAATCAAGACAACTTTTGTGACTTCCTAGTCCTTTTTTCTGCAGTGCTTTACAAATTGATTAGTGCCTACCAGCTCTCATAACTCTTTATAGTGTTTTATGTTTAATGGATTTTACATTAAACATTGGCATGATCACATTCTAAACTATAGCCAATTATTTAGGATTGCCCATAAGGGTATTTAGCACTGGTTTCTTGTTTGAACAGATATCTGCCACTGTTTTCCATCTCTGCCTGCTTGTCTCCAAATGTTCGCCTATTCCCTCTCTTTCTAGAATAGAATCTTAAACCACTTTTTTTTTTTTTTGATGAATAGAATCTTCAACCACTTGCTGCCTGCTTGTCTCCAAATGTTCGCCTATTCCCTCTCTTTCTAGAATAGAATCTTCAACCACTTTTTTTTTTTTGATGAATAGAATCTTCAACCACTTGCTGCCTCTGGTTTTGGGCCAGAGAGCAAATATCTCATTGAGCTGACTTGGGGCTGATCTCTGACTCTTAAATATCCTGCAAAACAACTCTCAAGTGAAGTCCTCAAAGCTACATCTACAAAACATGCCCCTCCTCCCTACACATGGTAGACCTCTTAGTAAGATGACATCCCCTGCTCTTTATGTTTTCAAGTATCATTATGTTGCCCACTATTGTGCTTTGGATATAATTGCCACAATGGTCATGAATGCAATTAGAATCTGTATTAAAAATCCATCCATATGGTGCAACCAGACAAAAAATAAAGACATGGATATGCTAGCAAACTTTTCTTAACTTCTGAACCTTGACCAGCATCAAAAGAAAATGTTACTAAATTTAGTAAGAGATGACAACACTATGGATTAATATTAGAGATTTCTAATGTAATAGCAACTCAATGGTGAGTTAGTCGATCAATCCAAATCCTAGGCTGGCACCTTCAAGTGATTCACTAAATGTGCTGTTTGATGGTAGATATGGGAAGTAAACAGCTAAGACCCAACTGTCTTTAAAAATAATATCATTGGGAAGAAATTCATTACTAAATGGTGGTGGCTCAGTTGGTAAGTTCTCTGGCTGGTTGCAGCATAGATTTGGGACCAAATCCTGTTGCCACCAGTTGGGAGGGGGAGGGGGAGGGGGGTAGCCAGGTAGGAGTATGGGACTACGGGGAATGGACTACCCCCATGTGTAGCCCCTTGCTACTACTGTTTAGATGGGAAGAAAATCATTTGTTGTTGAAAATAGGGATGCTTGAGTTTTTTTTTTCTTTTAATTATTTGGTTAGTTATTTTGTTGCTTTCAAAAATATATGAACAATGTTGAGTGCCATGCACCACAACTTGGTCTTGGCTAAACTTATCCCTTACATGTTTCTTACAGAGGTATAGTTCCCCAAAACATTTTCTCTCTGATTGCCCCAGATTTTGCCAGCCCATCAAAAAGGTAGCTGTCTGATATAGGAATCCACCTATATTGGGCTCCAATCTCCAATGACAGATTAAATTAGTTATCTCCCTCATCATATGTCTATATTTCCATGAATCCATTCTGTTTTTGGCCCATTATGCAATTGCCTTTTAATCTTCTTCGATTTGTCACCAGAAATGTACTTTCTAGTGAATGAAAATCCGGAATCCCACTAGGCCAGGACTGAAGATCTTTTTTTTTTCCCTTTATTTTTTGATTGATAACTGAGATTTCTTTATTAATTGGTGTGGAAGAATGTGTGATTTAGACAATAGAAATATCAAGCATCCCAATGTTGTGGGATTGCCATGCTATCTATCTATCTATCTATCTATCTGATCCCTCATTATAATTGTGTTTGTTGACTCATTGTTTAGCCAAAACATCTGCCACACAATTACATGAATTCTAAATCCAAGTGAATCTAGCTTCTAAATTTCTAGATAGATGTCTGAATTCTCTCAGAATATGTCTATATTGTGAAGGCCCCCGGCTATTGCTTCTTAGTAACCCTATTATAACCTCGGAGTCCCCCTCTACTTGTAGCTGGTTATGGTTGAGGTATCACCCTATTCTTAGACCTTGGAATACAGCCAATAATTCTTCTCTTATTGAGTTTCCATACCCTATAGGTTCAGTATAATGCTGCAATTGTTCCATCATGGTGTCTAAATACATGCACCAGCTAGGTCTCCTCTTTTGTATAACCTCGCAAGTGTTAATCTTTCGATGGAAAATCCCCCAACAGGGCACTGGTCTTGGGTGGTATTGGCCTACACCAAATAGTTTTCATGGAGAAAGGCCTATTGGGAAGGGAAGAAGATGAATGGGCAGAAAAGGTAGATGCACAAGTAAATGGCCAGAAGTTCACCATAGCCCAACTCTTTGGCTATCCAACAAACATCAAGATGCAATAACAAATCCAGAGCCACAGGATGTGGGTCCTCAGAAATTGGCCAACAGGCTCAGAGAAATTTGAGAAATTTCTACTCGTCTTTTTTGTTCTTTCAGATGGGTTTCTAGGGAGCTGAATGTTGTAGCTGATTCCTTAGAAAAATCAGGGGTAGATAGGGCTTCATTGTATAGTGATAATACTTTGTYGTTGTAATTTCACCGTCTTTTTTGATTTTTAATGGAAGTTTCCTCTTCTCAATAAAAAGAAAAACAAAAAGGCAAATTCCAATTGCAACTTCCAAAGCCACTTGCCAAGGAGAGAAAAGTTTCTCTTTGCCAAACCAACTAAAACTAATCCCCCTCAAGCAAATAGTCTTCCAGTTTAAGAGGCTGTTCCTTTTATAATCCCCTTGGTCCCAAAGAAACTCCATCATAGTTTGGACTTTGAAAACAAAAAGAAAATACACGACCAGTAAATTTGATAGTTTGGACTCGATCAAAGTGATAATTCCACCCAAAGATCACTTACATCTGTAGAGAGAAAATATGTTTCACTGTACATGGCATTATTACGGTATGAGGAACAGTGACAGTGACATCAGTTCTTTATGGGAAAAGAAAAAATCATTAAAATAAAATAGAGAGCTGCTTGTAAGACATGACTGGAAGAGAAAAACAAAAGGTTATAACTTAAAATCACACCCACCCTAATGAAAACTCCTCAGCCTCCTAACCAATCCAGCACCCAAAGAACAAAATTAGAAAAATATCACCAAAACCAGCCTTCCTCCATTAAATCATTCCAGGCCTTACCCTGACCTCTTTTAAATGCTTACACCCCTACCCTTCAAATTCTCATGGTTCACTCAATTTCAAGATCTGCACCTCTCATCCATACAAAAAACTGAATTTCCAATCCCAATTTGGGAGGGGTATTTTTTTTATCAATCAATTTGGGAGGGGTATTCAAATTTGTTCTTTTGTTCTAATTTCATAAAAAAACTTCCTTCCATTTTCTTGTCCCCCTAAAAGAAGAAGACTCAATCTCTTCCCTGCTTGAACTTTTCTTTCAACTGCTTTCAGAATCTCTCTCTGATCAGTGCCTTCTGAGTCTCTACCTTTTTTATAGCTTTGGACCACTTCATCTATTGATGCATCCTCAATCCCGAGGTACCACCAACAGGACAAAAATAAACTTTGATGGTTGCAGCATTGAGAATCCCAAAGAATCAGATATAGGTAGAGCTTTCTGTGGACACAAGAAATTATATTGGCGTTTTCAGAGCCAATAGGGGCCTGAAATTCTGTAACAGCAGAATAAGCTGCAATTCAAGGTCTGAAATTAGCCAATATAGGGTGGGCTACATGAATCCTGTTTCACCATTCTGCTCTATTCAATGCCATATTCATTTATAGTTTATGGGCACCTAAATCATTTCTTGTTATTTTGACACATGCCTTTTTTAGTGTCTTCTCTCTCCCTAGCCTTCTAGCCCATTCAACTTGTAACATATTATTTCTTCTTATGGGTGCTGTACGTGACCATCTATGCACGTAACTACTACACATTCTTGGTCTACTATCTTTCATTTTATCATCTATTGGAGCTACTCCTAGGTTCCTTAGAATGATTAATGATTTCATTTTTAACCCTATCCTATCCTTCTAGTTTTTTCACTCACCCTCCTTAGCATATGCATTTCTGCCACTCATTTTTTGGACAGGTTGTTTATTGACTGCCCAACACTTGCGTAGCTGGTGTTACAATTACTCTTTACCTTTTTTAATCACTTATTAGTTTGTAGGAGATGATCCTGCCTTTTTTATGGTGTTATTTTTCATTGCATTTTATGTTTGTTTTCATTGATGGTTTGGTCTTATTGGGACCAGAATTTGATCAATCAAATATTATAAAACATCTATAGTTAATAGAATATCCAGGATTTGATCAATCAAATATTATAAAACCTTGGTATTTATTACCATTCAGAATAGGACCATGACGGACTTTCAGCCTATATATAGCACCATAATATTAGATTTGGGCGGAAGATCAGAAATTCAGAATTAGAAATTAGAAAAGCAAGGATATAGGCTTGTGTGAGTAAGAAACAAAAAATATCTATTCTAGTTCCATTATCAATTATCCATGAGAGCTTGTAGATGTGATTGCATGAATGTGCATTGTCATTAACATTTCATGATGCATTGGGATTAGTCATGTTTCTCATGCAGTGCGTACTCAAAGATAAGACATTTTTTAAGAGAAAATCTAGCATGTGCAAAGTGGCATTGACTACTGAGTACTTTTTTTTTGTATGGATAGTATATGGCTTATTGAATATGACAGTGAGTTTACTAGTTAAGAACACGGACTAAAGTGGATTCAATATTTCTGGCACATCTTTCTTGTATGGATATTATATGATTCATTAAGGCTATGTTTGGTTTGAAGGAAAAAGTAGGGAAAGGTAGGGAAACCTATACAAGGTTTGTAAAGGTTTCCCTACCTTTTTCCCTACTTTTTCCTTCAAACCAAACACAGCCTAAAGAAATAGAGGTGGCTGCAACCAACTCTGGTAATGTAAACGTCCACTAGAGGCAGGTAAGCCATTACCTAATGTTGGTCCCGGCTATCCAGAGGGGTGAAGTGGTGAACTGGATACTGATCTCACCTTAACTCTTATATGGATACTTTTGTTTTCATGCTTGTTGGCCTGGGATTTTACCATTAACATCAAGCAATGGCCCCTTACGATCATCACACAAAAAGAAGCCACTAGAATCTGGAGACGTTTTCTTTCCTGAAAATTGTAATTTCTCCAGCTACAGGGTATTTATAGTTTCATACTTTATTTAATAGAGTTAATATAAAATGTGAAGTCTGAAATTATATATCGATTCATTATTCAGACTGACGGTTGGTTATGTCCTCTTATATGCTGAATTCAAACATCTACTGTAGAACGTTATTACAGTTGGGGTACCCTAGGAAGTGGAAGAAATGTGCTTGCTCTGAAACTGAAGAGAATTAGTACATGCGAACGGAAAAACTTTAGGGAGAATGACGATTCAGCCCAGGATAAAGGGAAAAGGTTTTCCTGATTGGGTCAACACATTAACGGAGTACTGCAATTATATGATTTCAATAATGTTTTCTTGGCAAGTAATAAACTAACGTGTTTATCAGGTGCTTTCCATGCCCTAATCTTGTGCTGGTTTTCTTTTGCAGGCTTACGAGTTAGAGCTGTGCCAAATCACCATTTTCAATCATTTCCTTTGGCTTTTCCCCCCGTTTCCAGATATTCCATCTGTTAAAAGACGAACACATTGTTTGCAAGTGTGTAATCAATCATACCTTTCTTTGATGGTTTAGAATCCTGATCCATCAAATTCTATCCATGTTTTGCATTGTTTGTTAAACAATAACCATTCTTTTGAGTTTTTGATCCATCTAACTAACATTGCAACGATTGGTGAACAAATTCCCTTAATGAGGGGTCAATTAGATGGTTTACTGGTCTCTGAAACGAGGGCAATGGATATTTTACTAGTCGGCGAGGGGTCAATTATGAAGGTAATCTTTGCCAAGATATATATTGGATATTATTGTAAGCTTGTAATTACAAGCTATAACCAATTTTTCATTCGAGGGTCTAATTCAAAATAGATAGATACACACAACATGATTATGTTAATGAAAATTTTGAATAATAGAAGACCACCCAAAAAATGAAGCAAAGGATAGAAAAAAGTTTTGAACATAGACAATAGATAAGATGCAAATCGAAAAGGGTTGGGATGGGCCTGGGGCCACGGGCCACCTATTCTTTGCTTGCAGTTGCAGGAAAGGCCGAAGGGGACATCATCTTTATTTCGGAGCTATCTGCCCTCGCGTCTGTCTTTTCTCCATTCCCAAGGCATTTCTGGGTTCCTTGCCGCCCACAATCCAATCCGAGCAGCTCGAGCCTCCTTCTCCCACTGGTACCCAACATTAATTTAGAGGCAGAAATTTTTATAGTTAGATTGAAGGTAGTACCGAAATACATGAGAGCTTCATTAATGGGCAATCAAATCATCCTATTCCTACCAATGCTAATTCTGGACGTTTGTCATAAGCCACGTAGTGCCATGCACACCCCCTTTTGAGTAATGATTCCTGTAGGTGTAGTTGTGGTTGTAGGGGCAGGAAGAACAAGAAGCAGGTGAGAGGTGAGGTGACGACTAAGAATGACACTCCACTATAACTCCATTTTGGAATGATGAGACCAACAAACACTCAACTCACTCAGCCTTACCTGTACGAAGAGACCATTGCAGTAGATATCCCCCACGCATCTGCCGTAGCGGTCCTCGTTGTAAACATAGATTGTCAAGCGCTTCCCCTGTACCAGCTTAACCAGCTCTTCCTTTGCCTCCTTTCCATAGGGCATCTGACTCTCTGGTGCGTCTATGCCTCTGCTTTCTTCAAAATTCATGTTAACAGTTGATCTCTATGCCCATTATTAATTTAAAACCTTGTCAATGGCATTCAGAAATATGCTTACCTTAGTCTAATCCTATACTTTCGGGCAAGAACCTCCTCATTGTTGGGACCGCTCAAAATGCTGCCAAGTAATGGATTGAAGAAGAATAGTTGAAATTCAGAACAAACAAAACAACAACAATCGTGTATGGTTTACGGTTTACCAACCGATACCCAGCATCAACAATGCTCTTGTGGAGTGCGTCTGCCTTTGCATAATTCTTGGCTGCACGCGCCTTTGATCTTTGAGCCACTGCCGATTGCACATCTTTGGGAACGGTAGAGGATTCCCTGGGGTCCGTGGTATCCACATAAACTGTTATCGTATCCCCATCGGCAACAGCTTTCGCGTCCACCTAGGGTTCAGTTGTATTATTTCCAGTGTCTAATTGGAGTAAGGAAAAAAAACGAGTGAGACAATTCTTGGAGGAGTTGGGGAAGGAGAAACATGGCCTCACTGGAAGTGTCTGCAGTTGGAATTGGACCCCTTCGGGCCATGATGTCGGGGGCCGTGTAGGGGTTTCGACCAGAGTGTGTGGAAGAGGGAGACCATAGAAGGCCAATAAACCCTGCAAACGCAAAGCAAGCCCCCCCTCGTCAGAAAAGCCCTAAGATGCGTGAAATCCCAAACTACATCTCTCCTCTCTATCTTTTCTTACATAGAAAAACAAGCTCAATGTAGTTAATGAAATGCTCTTTTCCCTTCTCATCCTCCTCCTCCTCCTCTCCCTAGCATCTATGTACCTCAACATCTGCCTTTTGGTGTCTCTTCAAGGTGAGAATGACGAGCCTTGCTGCTTCTTCAGGTGTTTTTGGAGATGGCTTTGCTTCATTCCATGCCGCTAAAAGTTTCGTGTACCTACATTCATACATGATCCCACCCAATCAACCAAGGGTTTAAACGAAAAGCAGAACATTTGTAGCTAATTCGGAAATCTTAGTTCAACTAGAGTGATAAAGGTGTTGTGTTAATACCAGTTAGCCTGTGCTTTCTTCGAGGAGACCACATATCGACCGAGTCCTTCCGGAACCTTGAATCAAGAAAAGAACTAGAGAAAAGTTAATGAGCTGCTGATATTAGAGTTATACATCCTGAGAGCAAGCCCCCCTCCACTCTTCTTAAAAAAAAGATTAAAATAAACAACTCAACAGCCTCGATGAGCTATGATTATATATTTTATATGTTTCATATTTGAAAAGCTAACTCGATCCTTTACCAAAGATGAAAAAGAGAAGAGAAAAACTAACTAGATCAGAAGGCAGATCACGTAATAGAAATGACAATTAAGCTTAAACTCGATGATAATTGATGATTGATTGCCGACCTGAGATGTGCTCTGGAAGTTGAGGAGATCCTGACAAAGAGCCGAAATTCCGACGGTGGCGGTGGTGACGCCATGGGGACCAAGTGATTCAGATTCCTGGGTTGTGGGCTTACAGCACTGGCCACACAGAAACCTTAGAACGTTCCCCATTCCCTACTCCCAAGTCCCAAGCACGCTCATACACAACGGCCCAGCGAAAAGGAAAGAAGAAGACTCGATCGAAATTCGAAAATAATTGAAATGTAGAGAAAAGAAAGAAGCTTTGAATGAAAGAGGAAAGGAGAGGAAATGGAATGGGGAAGACGGGGAGTCGCCCTCCCTGCCTCCAATTCAGATATGGGTTTTTTGGCATCTTAGTTTATTATTTTTTTTCATTTCCACTCAAAAGATAAACCGACACTTGTGCTGATTCTATTTGCGTAAATCACATTTAATGTCAGGTAACATTGTTCATTTCCTGACGAAGGAAATATCTAGCGTCTAAAGGATTAGTGATTTAAAAAAATAAACAGAAAAAAAAAACTCTTATTTTTCTTTTTTATTTCTTCTGGTCAATGGATTGTGGGCTTCTAGTTTCTGATGGAAGAAAGATGTGATGGTTGCTTGATTTATTGGATTGATGAATGAAACAGTGGTTTCAGTGATTATTCAAATCTACGACTACTAGAAGCTGGTAAGCCCGGTACGCCCGAAGCCCAAAGTTGCTTCTGGTGCAAGAAATTTACTGCAATTCCAATTACCAGATGAAATTCAGTCGTAGCTGCGTCGTCCTTTGGTCTAGAACGCGTTTGATGATCTGGGATTTTTCTCCGGTTCGTGAAAATATGAAGATACAGTAGTAGTGATAGAGACTCAAAATATCGAATCAGAAACCAAACTATCAATCAGATGGTAGTCTTGCAGACAACGCATTTTACTGATAAAACAATAAGATAGTTCATGATCGGTAAGCACGAGATTCAATGGAATTCCTCTCTGCTACAGATAAGATCGTCCAACGGGCAATGAGCTGTGAAACCCAGTATTGACCAAACTCGTTACTTATACTTACTGCCTTACTGGGTTTTGTAGCCCATTGTAATTTGTTTACAGGTGCAGCAGATCCGGATTTCTAGATTATAATGTTTTTAAAAACAAATTTTACCAAAATCTCAACACTTTATACAAATAAGTCTATTTTGATTACTGGAGCACGCTCAGTAATTAAGTTAACTGACTAGCAAATTTAGAAGAAAGGTCATTGCTCTCTTGGTTCAGGTCTCTTGAGAGGCTATGGTATGTTTCTTATTCACATCTTCTGGCTCTATTGCCCTAAGGCCTTACCTTTTTTGTATGTAAGGTTTTTTTTTATGTGATGTAAATCAAGTACGCGATTTGAAAAATTTACATTGCATTGAGTCCCAATTTTCTGGGCCAGGCCCATTAAAATTTGAACAACTTCCCAACTGAGCCCACCCAAGTTATTGGTGTGGTTAAATTGGCTACTGAGCTAGCACCCTTTGGTCTCATGCTCTTGTAGGGGTGTGTGTGTGTGAAAGTAAACTCACTTCATGGGTTATGTTCCAAGATTGGATTGTTAAACAGGGTCAAGCTGTTGAGCTTAGGGGGTGCAACTCAGGTGGATTGGATCAGTTTGAGGGCTAACCGAAGTACAACCCAATTGGGTGGAGATAGGAATTTTTTATAAAGGGGACCAAAACTTATGGATGGGCCATAAGGAAGGCCAACCATTGGGTGAAAAGTGGGGGAGAGAAAAAACTAGCATGAAAAAGTGGGGGAGAGATTTCTGGACCATAGGGGGGGGGGGGGGGGGGGGGGGGGGGCATGGCTCCCCTGGGTCCCCCCTTGGCTCCGCCCTTACGGCCAAAGACTCAACTCATGTTCAATGCTGGTCCAACCCATGGCCAATCCAAGCTTAACTCAAGATTCTCTAATGATGACAAAGTCCTCCATGACGGATGATGAAATTAACCATATTGATTATTGGCTGACCCTCTAAAATTAAAATAATCAATATTCATTACAAAGTTCGAATTGGGGAAGTTAATTAAACAATCACAGTTCCATGTATTTCTTTTTAACTGCTTCGCTAGTCATGTTGACCGTTGGACAAAACTGAACAAGTTTGAGAGGTCAAAATCAACTCTTTAACATTGACAAACCTTAATTAATTAAATTGATCTTAATTAAGCGCTTCAATAGTTGCATACATGCGCATGCATATATAGGATTTACATATAAAAGTTAAGTACCATCTTTAGTCCAAAAATTCAAGTTATTAAGTTGTATATCAATTTTAGAACAAGTTTCTTACACTTCTCATCTCTTTCTAATGTGGAACATAACTATTGATACTTGTCTCTTATAACCGATTCTATAAAACCTTGAGACATCTTTCTCCACTATTATATATTAGGCCATATTCATTTTTTAAGTAGGGCCAAGTAAGTTGGTAGGTCCCACTGAAAAAAAAAATATACCCATGTTTGTTTTTTGGTATTAGTGGGTCTTGTGGAAAAGAACGATTTCTAAGTGATTCATTTACTAATATTCTCCTTAGATTTTGGATGAATTACTTATCCATGCATGTCAAAAATCGTGAATATATATTGGGGAACAATATTGTCACTTCAATAATATTAGGGAGAGCAATTTGTGATAATATCTTCCCGACCCATGAGATCATCCACTTTATAAAACATTACAAATGAAGAAAAAGTTTCATGGCAATCAAGTTAGACATGAATAAGGCTTATGATAGAATTGAGTGGGTTTTCTTGGGAGAAACCATGAGAAAGTTAGGATTTGGTGAAAAATGGATAGGGTGGGTTATGAAATGTGTCTCTTTAATGTCTTATGAGATTCTCATAAATGATTCCCCTTCTAATAGGATCTATCCAAAGAGAGGCCTCAGACAAGGAGACTCGATATCATCCTATCTATTTTTAATCTGCTTTGATGTTTTCTCAACTATCCTCAACAATATGGTGCATAATGAGGTGATGTCTGGCATTAAGATTTGTAGGCAAGTTCCAGTGATTACCCATTTATTTTTTGTAGATGATAGCTTCATCCTCTCATTAGCAAATTTCATTGAAGTTGGCTCCCTCCTACACGCTATTTCAATCTATGAACAAGCTTCAGGATAAAAAGTCAACTATAACAAATCAGAGGTACTCTTCAGTAAATCCATGCATCCAAGATTAAAAAAAAAAAAAGGTTTTGCCAAAGGCTCTTCACATTAAAAAAGTAAACAAGCCCTCTATCTACTTAGGATCTCAACCACTAATTCCTAGAAGAAAATGCCACCCTTTTTGATTTCCTTTCTGACAAAGTAGCCTCCAAAGTCCTAGGGTGGAGAGATTCCCTTTTCTCTTAGGCGGGTAAGGAAGTTCTCCTAAAATCAATAATCACTGCTATACCTGCCTATTGTATGTCTTGTTTCATTCTCCCAAAGAAAATCTACACTAATCTCCAGAAACTTCAAAGAAATTTTTGGTGGGGGAGCTCTCAGGGCAAGAAAAAGTGAAGTTGGGTTGCTTGGCATCAAATTGTAAGGAGCAAGGGTGGTGGTGGAATGGGAGTGAGGGATCCCTATCTTTTCAACTTAGCCCTCCTTGCAAAGCTTGCATGGAAACTGTGTGAAGACTCCCAAAGCCTATGGGCAAGAGCTTTAAAAGCTAAATACTATCCGAACTGCCATTTCCTACTTGCTAGACATAAATCAAGTTAGTCTTGGGGTTGGAGGAGTGTCTTGGAGGGTAGAAAGCTTCCCCTCTCGAGAGGGTATTGGAAGGTTAATAATGTAGGCTTAAATCTGAATATTTGGATTGGTCCTTGGGTACCAGGCCTTAACGTCTTTAAACCAATGGGACCAAGTCCTAGAGAGGCCCAAAACTTCTCAATCAACCACCTGATAGGTCCAAAAGGAAGGTGCTGGAACATGGAAAGAGTTTCAAGTCTTTTTACTGTTGAAATTGCTATAGTGATTAGCAATATCAACCTACCCTCTAATATATGGGAAGACAAGTTCTTGTGGGCTCCTACCTGAAGGAAATAATGAAGATTGAATTCTCATGTATTCTATTGATGTAATTAACTCAATATATATACACAGGTGTCGTGTCATGTTACAATAGGTAACAAAAATAAAACAGAGGGATAAGATATACACTACAACCAGATAGAGATAGAGTTGGTTTCCAACTCTAGCATATCTGGTAAGGTCTAACAGCCCCCCTCAAGTTGCTGGTGGAGGGACAACGTTCAACTTGCTTCGAAGAGTAGAGAACCGAGGTCCAGGAAGTGCCTTTGTAAATATGTCAACAGGCTGGTCCTTAGTGTTGATGTATTGCACTTGAAGTTCTTTGGCAGCCACATGTTCACGTACAAAATGATAATCAATGGAGATGTGTTTGGTACGTGCATGAAACACCGGATTGGCTGTCAGTAGATGGCACCGATGTTATCACACCATAAGGTAGGAGGCTCTAAAAGAGAAAGACAAAGCTCCTTGAAGAGGGACTTGAGCCATAGGAGCTCAGAGGTAGTAGTGGCAACCATGGTTCAAAGTATCGATATGCCCCTGTGTATCGACAGGGGCGTATCGGTACTTAAAAACACACGCTCTATGGTTTTTTTAGTTTTTTTTTTTCAAAATATGGTTTTTAAAGATGTTTTTAATGGCTTTTTTATTAAAATAATCCAGGGTCCCAAAACACCTGTAAATAGGTGTATCGAGACCAAAAGATACGAGTATCGGGAGTTTCGTATCGATACTTTGAACCTTGGTGGCAACACTTCTATACTCAGATTCTATACTGGAGCGTGAAACAATGGCTTTCTTCTTAGAGATCCAAGAGATGAGATTGGGACCAATGAAGATACAATATCCACCATGAGAGTGGCGATCAAGGCAGCCGGCCCAATCGGCATCGGAGAAGGCATGCAACTGGAGAGAGGAAGAACGAGTAAACAAAAAGTCCATGTTCAATGGTTCCTTTGAGATATCGTAGGACTCTTTTGAGTGCAGCCATATGATCAGTGGTGGGTTGGTGTAGGTATTGATATAATTTGTTGATGATAAAAGAAATCTCTGGACGAGTAATCATCAAATACTAGAGAGCACCAATCAGTCTTCTATAATCAACAGGACCTTGGAGTGGTGTACCACCAAGGGAGAGAGACATGTCAGGAGTGATAGGCGTGCTGATGGGCTTGGTGGTATCCATGCTTGATTTGTGAAGCAGATCAACTATGTATTTCCATTGGGAGAGATGAATACTGGTATTGGAGCGAGAAACCTCAATACCCAGAAAATAATTGAGTGTGTCAAGGT